AGTCAAGCAGCAGTAGCTTCAGTCAGGAGCAGCTGTAGCAAGTGCTGGAGTAGGAGCTGCAGCAGTAGCACTAGCTGTAGCTGGAGTAGCTTCAGTCAATAGTAGCTGTAGCAAGTGTTGGAGTAGGAGCTACAGCAGTAGCACTAGCTGTAGCAGCCGTAGCTTCAGTCAGTAGCAGTTGTAGCAAGTGCGGTAGTAGCAGCAGCAGCAGTAGCACTAGCTGTAGCAGCAATAGCTTCAGTAGCAGCAGCAGTGAGTAGCGCTAGCTGTAGCAGCAGTAGCAAGGAGGAGCAGCTGCAGCAAGTAGCAGCAGCAGCAGCAAGGAGGAGCAGCTGCAGCAAGTAGCAGCAGCAGTTTCAGGGCAGTACAGGCAGCAGCAGCACTGCAGCAGCAGTTCAGGCGCAGCAGTGTAGCAGCAGCAGCGAGTGCAGCAGTAACACGGGCCGCGTGCGGGCCAGGCGCGGGCTGTAAGGGCTGCGTGCGGGCCTGGCGCGGGCTTTACGAGCTGGGTGCGGGCCTGACGTGGGCTGTACGGGCTACGCGACGGCCTGGCGCAGGCTGTACGGGCTTCGCGACGGGCCTACGCGGGCTGTACGGGCTTCGCGACGGGCCTACGCGGGCTGTACGGGCTTCGCGACGGGCCTACGCGGGCTGTACTGGCAGCTAAGGCGCGGTCAGGGGGGGTGGCACGTGATTAGGAAGGAAAATCGCGTCTAGGGCAGAAAAAGGAACCGTCTCGCCTAGAGCACGGTTTCGAATTTCGCGTTTCTCCTAGGGGCGCGACTCGGGCAGTAGATCGAAATAGTAGTGGTGGGCCCTTTTAAACATTCGGTCCTAAGGAGCATTGTGCTCTTAATACCATGTTAGAATCACTAGTAGCAAGGTGAGGAATGATGATTAGGTGAGGGAGAGGGGGTACAAGAGTGTCGAGAGAGTTGGGTTGTACCCTCTAAGGTGTGACCCTACACAACCTAGAGTAAGAACATAACAATATGTTTTGACAAAATTTACAGCTGTGCTCATTTGATTGGATTTCAAACTTGACTGAACACCTGTTTCTGCAACTGTCTGGTTCGGGTGGGGTTTTGACGAGCGGAACTTTTTTCCGCGTGAGATTTTTACTGTGGAATGTCCAGGTGCATTGACATTTCGAACCGCGTACAGAGTTGTTGACAATGACGGGTCGATACGCAACTCGTCCGAGACATCAGCGCGTTTCACGCTGCCAAATGAAAAATACATTAAAAGTCGCACAAGGGCGACACGCGTTTGTGACATTGTACGTTATAAGCTGGTTTTACGCGTCACAAAAGGATTGAGACACAAGTGTATCCACAGGAACGCACCCTTAGTTTTTTTACAAGTTCGCAGATTGGTTGGGCGCGGGCGAGAATTTTGTTGAGTTTCAAGTTGTTTTGGCGGGAGTTACATGTGTGACCATTCGCGTGATTTTTTACCTGTTGTTAGTGACTGAATCCGTGACCCCGCTTACCAACCCGTCAGAAAACCCGATACAGTAGCCGTACGCGTTTTTTTTTTTACCATTCACGTTATCGAGTCCCAAGTTGGTTACTTGTGGCATAATTTTCCCCACATTTCATTGGAATTTGCACAAAATGAGCCAGATGATTAGCACTACAAAACTGTACACAAAGGTTATGTACAACAAGCGAGCTACACATAAAGCAATCTCGACAGAAACTGCGATCGCTACTACTGCACAGCAAACTATTTACTCCGTAGACTGAATCTTCACATCACGAACATTAGGCTCGCTTTCCTTCTGCGGCTCGGTAGGCTGCTTCTTAGGCACGGTCACAGTCAGCACGCCGTGCTCCGTGTTCGCCGTAACCTTATCCACCTCCGTGTTCTCCGGAAGGCGGAACCTGCGGAGAAACTTCCCGCTGCTCCTTTCCATGCGGTGGTACCTTCCGGTGTCCTTTTTCTCGCGCGTGCGCTCGCCGCGAATCGCAAGCACGTTTCCGTCTTCGATCTGAACCTTCACCTCCTCGCGTCGCAGCCCCGGCATGTCTGCGATGAACTTGAACGCATCGTTCGTTTCGCGAACGTCCACCGCCGTGCGAGCAATGTCCTGCGAAAAATATTCACAACCCATATCAGCAAAGGGGCGGTGCAAGGTCAGCTCTTGCTCATCGACGGGAAATGAGCCAGAAAATGTCATGTTTATTAAAATCCGTCGGAAACTTCGCGAGGTATTATTACCTCGCCGAATCAACGAAAAACAATATGGGAAGCCGAAAATTATTGTGGCTCACCTGCGTCTCACGGAGGAAGGAGGCGGTGGGAGCCTCGAAGAGCGAGCTGAACTCGTCGGGGAAGCGCATCCAACGCGGCATCATCTCGAGCGGTCCCGTGGGGGACGTGAGCGAGGTCATCGGCGCGAAGGGGTCCATCATGCCCATGCCGGTCCACGGTGCGAGAGCCATGGCGGGTAGTGGAAGTTAGAACGGTCGAGCGCACTGAGAGCTGTCGAGACGGGGAGCTACTTGGGGAAGCGAGAGACGGTGACAAAGCAAAAGCTTGTTGGGTCAGAGAGCAAGTTGAAGGAAGCGCTTAGAACGGCAGTCTTAATAGTCTGAAAGTTCGATGACGAACTATGACGAATGGAACTGCTTATGTAGTACTTCGGTGAACCTGCATCAGTGCCACCAAATGCTCTCGAAGACGTTCTCGAATCTTGTAGCAGCTTCGACCATCCATGCGTAGGGCTGGCAGCGGCATCATGATGGGAGCCGACGCGAGGGCTAGAATGCATGAAAGATTTCTCGCGTCGTGGCGAAGCAACACCATGAAAGGCTTCAACAGACCATGCTCGCGACGCATCTAGATACGTCGAGCATGTACCATGGAACGCGCCTCGGAAAGCCTAGCATGGTGCCTGCCAGCACCACGCGCCAATAGGAGGTGAGTGGCCGCACTGCGGAGAGCGTTGCATGGCTATAGAGAGAAACATCCAGAGAAGCCTAGCAGGTGCGAATAAGTACCTGCCAGCATCACTACAGGAAGCGCAGTGCATGGCGATGGTGGTATGTGTTGTATATGCGGTGTCAGCAAGGGAGACTAGGGAGAAGACAGAGCACGTGTGACGAGTTGTCAAGGAGGACGGGAAGGTGCTGGATGTCTCGGGAGACATAACCGCGTTATAGCCTCTTTCCTCTTAGACTATGTGGTCACAATAGAATGACCAGTTATTTCAAACTATCATATTACATACCGTAAGTTAAACAATGATAATACTAGTCTGCGTGAATACATAGAATATTATGTAATAAAAAAATGGATTACAAAGAATTCCAATATAATCCCCAAAACGCATCTGGTAATTATATAGTAGGGCTGCAGGTTTCCACCAGGGCAAATTTTATCAGTGTAAATCACCCTGATACCCTGATTATCAGGGTGGTTTTTGGCAGTCACACTGATGGCCCAGGGTAATTTTTTCGGGAGCTAATATTTTCCTGATATGCCAGGGTTTACATTTAAGGCACACTGATGACTCAGGGTTACCGATTTCATAACGAGTTTTACCCTGAAGCGAGTACCATACCCCCCCCCCCCTCTCCCGCCCCCCCCCCCCCCCCCCCCCCCCTCTTCTCGGTAACCCTCCCGCTAAAATGATATTTATAGAAGAGCTACAAAACGGTCACGTCGGAGCTGCCTAGCCGTAATAAAGTGGCTTAGATTGGTTTCCGAAGGATGGAGACTCGTGATCAAATCTTGTAGCCCGCGTTTTCGTTCAGAACTTTAGTGGAAACACTTTATCAGGGTGATGAGAATTGTAACCCTGTGGCATAAGGGTAAATTTTTTGAAACTATGGAAAACCCTGATGGAAAAGAATTTTCCCAAGGGGTCACACTGATTATCAGGTTTTTGCAAAGGTGCAGGACTGATGATAAGGGTTGCTCAAAACCAAAAATTAGCCCTGGTTTCCACCCTATTAGAAATCTCTGTTGTGAGTTGCAATGATTTCATATCTTACCACGATTAGATTTCTGTTGAAAGACCTAGCGACAATGACGAAGTGTGTCCGTGACGAAACAACCACTCCCCACAGGAAGATGTGCCTTTTACGAGGTCGTCGCGCTGAGCTGAGCCAGTTTCAAGGGTTTTCGTCTGCCAATCACGAAAGTGGCACGAGTGAGCGTCGCACACGCAATTCACGACGCCCTGCCGTTGTCACTTGCCTGTCACTCGACACCTTCGGAATATATTTTCTTGAAATCAACGCCCAACCGTTCTAAAGAAATTTTAGACCGTCCTGTAACATTGCTAAACCCTTCTAACCGAAGTACATGAGATGCGTTGGTCACTTCAACCACGTCCCTTACGAATTGCCCAAATACCTCCTTAGGAACGGCTGATTAGACCTGCGTAGTGGTGAAGCTTGTTGCACCTAGGGTATCGTTTGTCGTACATTTAAACGTCGAACTAGGTACTACCCCAGGGCTGGTTCATCCGAGATAGTTGCTTTCCTCTTAGGAGACCACGCGGGGTCGCAGTAAGGTTCAGTTGAGAAACGAGGAAACGCGAGCGACTCGTATTGGTGGAGCGAGCGAGCCCGGTATACCGTTACAGTCACTAACTTTAACATCGGTTCGGTATAACGCCTGTATGCTACCGTCAGGAATGAGAAGAACCGTATGAAATTCAGCAGCAGTAGCAACGTTTTATATAGCTTGAAAGTAAAAGCTTTAAGGAGAGCGGCGAGTTTTAGGATCCAACTTAAAAGGTTTGGTTAAGACATATGCGTCAGCAGCATTGCCTTATCCGTTAGGAGTTTAAGCGTGACTTGGAGCCCGACCATTCACCTGTGAATTGGTGCGCCTACTCAGGAAGTCACTGGAACTGGATAGGGCGACGCGAACTTTTGCGATAGCGGGCGAAGATAAGCGAACGTCGAACGAGGAGATTTCGAAGATTTCGTTACGTTCTCGAAGCTGCGCGCAGGAGCGTCAAGACCGCGATCAGTGGTAGCGCGATGAGCGGCGTGATGTCGGATCTGGACCGTCAGATCGAGCAGCTGAGGCGATGTGAGCCGTTGAAGGAGTCGGAGGTGAAAGCGCTGTGCATGAAAGCCATGGAGGTTCTGGTGGAGGAGAGCAACGTGCAACGAGTCGACTCGCCTGTAACAGTAAGGACTCGTTTTTCGCAGAGCTTCGCCAATAACAGTAACCAGGTGCATGAAAGCCATGGAGGTGCTTGTGGAGGAGCGCAAGGTACAACGAGTCGACTCGCCTGTAACGGTACTGAATTCCCTTCGCATGCATTCGCGAGTAATCAGGGGCATGATTGGAAGTGCAGGTGGAGGAGCGTAACGTGGAACAAGTCGTTTCACCTGTTACAGTAAGGATTTGTTTTTTTATTTCGCAGAGCTTCGAGAGCAACAGTAACCAGGTTCGCCAATGGATAGGTGTCTGCGGAGGAGAGCAACCTGCAACGAGTCGAGGGTGGGGACAGAAACGTGGGAGTCTTCCACTCAGGCTCCCAGTTCCTGTCGTAGCATGACTTGCATTAGATCCCTGGAAGCCTGGGTGGAAGACAGAAACGTGTTAACCATTTCCCCCGCTTCCCACCCTCATTACCCCCCGTCTTCTTTCCCTTGCAGCTTGTGGTGGCATCCACAAGCAGTTTTACGACATGCGGCCTCCCAACCTCTCCACTTTCCCCTGCCATTCCCCCCCTTCTCTCCCCCCCACACACCACCTCTTCATAGCTCTGTGGCGACATCCACGGGCCGTGTTACGACATGGTGGAGCTTTTTGAAATTTGTCCTTCGGATGTCTCCCACTCCCTCCCAACCTTCTGGTATCAACCATACCCCCCCCTCCCCGTCTCTCCGTCCCTCCTCTTCCCCCCTCCCTCGCAGCTCTGTGGGGACATCCACGGCCAGTTGTACGACATGATGAAGCTCTTCAGAGTGCGGCCTTGTGTTATCCCTTCCCCCCGTCCCTCCCATTGTCACCCGCCCACCTCCCCCGTCCCTCTTCCTCCTCGCAGCTCTGTGGGGACATCCACGGCCGGTTGTACGACATGATGAAGCTCTTCAAATTGCGGCCTTGTGAAATTTCACTCACCTCCCTCCCCATGGCATTTACCCTACTATACACTCCCCGGACTTTTTTTTTTTCCCCTCTATCCCTCAGCTCTGTGGCGACATCCACGGGCAGTTTTACGACATGATGGAGCTCTTCAAAGTGGGCGGCGACTGTCCACAAACGAATTACCTCTTTATGGGGGATTTCGTGGACCGGGGGTTCTACTCCGTTGAGACCTTCCTCCTCCTCCTAGCACTCAAGGTGGGCGTGTGCTGATGTACTTTTGTGTGTGTGCATAAGAGATCATATCTTTGAGATGGCTCAAAAGTCCTCTTTATGGGGGATTTCGTGGACCGGGGGCTCTATTCCGCCGAGACCTTCGTCTTCCTCCTGGCGCTCAAGGTGAGCGTGCGATGTGCTTGTGTGTGCGTACGTATGAGGGGGTGATTTTGAGACTCCTCAGGAGTATTCTCATGTGGGATTTGTAGACCCAGGGTTCTACTCTGTTGAGACCTTCCTCCTCCTCCTTGCGCTCAAGGTAGGCACTGTGTTCTTTGTTGTTTCTGTGCTAATGTGTTTGGGCAGAACGGTTTTGTATGTTCTTCTGTGTGCTTTCTGTTTTGTGTTATATATTTGGATTCGATGCTGGGCCCTGCGTTGCTTGGTGCTTGTGCAGGTGCGGTATCCTGACAGAATCACACTTATCAGAGGGAACCACGAGAGCCGGCAAATAACACAGGTGCGTTTTCCTCTCACAAATCTCGCTCCCAGTCCACACCCTCTCAGCTCATGGCTAGCTAGCTCTGTGATCTTTCGTCTCGTTTCCTCGTCTCCTCGCTCGCCACCTCGACTCATGGTCCCCACCCATTCTTCACTTCACATATCTCTCTGCCGAGATCAGCCAAACGGGGGTGATTCCTGCTCTAGCTGTGTACTACCAGGCTGTTAGTAACAGCCGCTCCTGATCTGAGAGCTATGGCCCAGCTTATACACGACCCTTCACTTGGCATTTAGTGCGAGCCCTGGGGTTGCAGCCGGGATTATGGTCACTTGTCTCTTCTCATCCCCGCTTTCTCTTCTTTGTCCCTGCTCCCCCCGCCTCCCCGCTTCCGTCTCTCCAGGTGTATGGCTTCTACGATAAGTGTTTGCGCAAGTACGGATCAGTGAACGTGCGACGGTACTGCACTGACAACTCGTTCTGGAGTTTTTTCCGAAACAACTTTCTATGCTCCCCCACTCCTCTCCCACCTCTCCCTCCTCCTTCCCCTCCTCCTCAGGTGTATGGCTTTTACGACGAGTGTTTGCGCAAGTATGGATCGGTGAACGTGTGGCGATACTGCACCGACATATTTGACTACCTCAGGTCAGAAGTTAGTATAGTACAGCTGTTACCTGTGTGTGTGTGTGTGTGTGTGTGTGTGTGTGTGTGTGTGTGTGTGCGTGGTTACCATGGGCGATGTGAGTTTCCAGTACATGCAAGCGTCTCATGCAAGTACGGATCAGCGAATGTGTGGCGGTACTGCACCGACATCTTTGACTACCTCAGGTGGGGAGTGTGCAACCCTAGCCCTGTACACGGTTACCCCTGTACGCTGGTGTGGTTACCATGTGCGAGGTGAGCTGTCAATCAGCACACACAGCCGTCTCATGCAAGTACAGATCAGTGAACGTGCGGCGGTACGTGCCCTGCAGTATGGGTCAGTGAACGTGTGGTGATACTGCGCCGACTGCTTTGACGACCTCAGGTGAGGCAGTAACTATGTACCACTATAAGTTGGTGACTGTGTATGAGGTGGCCTTGGGTGCACCAATAGTCCTGTGCAAGTACGGATCTGTGAACGTGTGGCCGCACTGCACTGACATCTTTGACAGCCTCCGGTGGGAAAAGGGAGGGGATGTCTAGGGGGTTTCACTCCAGCAGTCATTTGCAAGCACACACACACAGGCCAGTGAACGTGTGGCAGCACTGCACCGACATCTTTGACAACCTCAGGCAAGCGGAGCTATTGTGTTGTGTTCTGATTTTAACAGTCACCCGCAGTAGGGGTCAGTGAATGCATGGCTGGCAGTACTGCGCTAACAACTTGATTACCTACCTCAGGTGAACCATGAATGGACCATGAAGCACGAACCTACAACCTGATTACGTTCGTGGCGTTGTAGCCTGCGTCTCGTAGCGACCAGATCTTCGTGTTGACTACAAAGCCTCACGCAAGCGGCATGACAAGCTCTTACGAGAGGCTCTCGCGTAAAAAAAAAAGCATGTGTCTTGCTCCAACGTGCCTTCCTGCTTGCGTCAATGTGACCTTGCGTCCAATCAAATATTATGCGTGCACGGAGGTTTCCCATTCGTGTCTTCCCACTTCCCACCTGTCCGACCTGCCTGCCCCACCCACACATTTTCTTCCTCCCCTGCCAGCCTGTCAGCTCTGGTAGACAATCAAATCTTCTGTGTGCACGGAGGTCTCTCGCCTTCCATCACCTCTCTAGACCAGGTAATTGCCCCCACATACACAGGGTCTCTATCATGTTTATCCCCGTCACTTCTCGCCCTCCATTACCTCTCTGCACCAGGTTCTCGTTACACACCCTTCAAACAGGATATAATCACATTTCACCCGTTTAACCCTCTTCACCCGCCCAGAGTGGGCGGCACTCTCTTTTTTGTGCCTTTCCCTTGCCGTCCTTTTTCAAATGTTGCTTCTCCCAGGTTCTTGTCATCTCCCTTCCTCTCTGATGTGCATGCCTTGCTACAACCAAACTCGTTCGACGAGAACAGGAAGACTCGACGGCTGGGATGACAGCTGATTCCTGATAATTCTAAAAAATGGATGACAGCTGATTCCTGATAATTCTAAAAAATGGATGACAGCTGATTCCTGATAATTCTAAAAAATGGATGACAGCTGATTCCTGATAATTCTAAAAAATGGATGACAGCTGATTCCTGATAATTCTCAAAAGTGGATGACAGCTGATTTCACCGCCGCTCCTCTGCCTCTCCTGCTGTTCCATTCTCCCTTCTCCTTCCTCTCTCTGCTCACTCTCGTCAAATTCGAGTGATCGACTGCGAGAAAGGGGTGCCTAAAGATTGGGGGCATGTGAGGCCTGCTCTGGTCCGATCGGGAGGAGGTCGAAGCCTTTGGCTGGGGTCTGCGATGGGATGCCAACTCTTTTCAACTGTTCAAGCTTTTTCCCGAGTCCCGTCTCCTTCCCCTCTCCACTCCGCTCCACTTGCTTCTTGGCAAATTCGAGTGTTAGACCGCAAACAAGAAGTGCCTCACGACGGGGCCATGTGCGAACTGCTCTGGCCTGATCCAGAGGAAATCAAACCGGCAGCTTGAATGTCACTGTTATCTGTTGCTCCTCTCTTCTTCCTCTTGCTACTTCCTGTCTCTGCTGCTGTTGCTTTTCAGATCCGAGGGATCGACCGCAAGCAAGAGGTGCCTCACGACAGAGCCATGCGCGATCTGCTCTGGTCCGGTCCAGAGGAGATCGATTGACGGCTGGAATGTCATCTGTTCTTTGATGCCTTCCCCTCTCCTTCCCCTCTCCCTTTGCGCGTGGCAGATCCGAGTGATCGACAGAAAGCAAGAGGTGCCTCACGACGGGGCCATGTGCGATCTGCTCTGGTCTGATCCAGAGGAGATCGACGGCTGGGGGCTGAGCCCGCGCGGCGCGGGTTACCTATTCGGTGGTGACGTGGTAACCAGCTTCAACCACAACAACAGCGTGGATGTGATTGCGCGGGCGCACCAGCTGGTGATGGAGGGGTACAAGTGGATGTTCAACCAGCAGCTTGTTACTGTCTGGTCCGCCCCCAACTATTGCTACCGGTGCGTATTGTCCGTGTGGGTGGGTTCTAGGTGCGAAATTCCGCCATTTTTTTTCATAATTTTCGCAGAAAATTTTCAGTTTTTTTTTTTTTTTTTTTTTTCGTTCGGGTGTGGGAAAATTCATCCGAAATGTATATATATATATATATATCTTATACTAAATGAATAAAAATCGATGGGCAGAATCCTGGGGTGTGTATGTATGTATGTCATCCCTTTTCAGGGATCAGAGCATGTTATGACATAAATGTTTAGGCAAATTTCATTCTTTACTTCTTTCCTTCGCTTTCATTTCTTTTAGGCCAGCATTTCGCCATTTGTTTTTTTTTTTTCAAAATGCAAACGAATTTTCGGTCGATTGTGGATCTGATTGCGCAGATGCACCAGCTGGTGATGCCGTGCAATGGTATAAGCATATGTGCAAACTCATTAAAGTGACATGCCAATCTGAGAATACTCAGAGGCACTCACCCTCTCTTATTCCGCGATCTCCCTCTTTTGTCCCCTCTGCAGGTGTGGCAACGTGGCGGCTATTTTGGAGCTGAATGAGAATCTGGAGAAGAAGTTCCGCGTGTTTGAGGCTGCACCGCAGGTGAGGGGTGGGGTGTTTAGGGGCACGCGGTTTGTGAGCGCAGGTGTGGCAATGTGGCGGCTATTCTGGAGCTGAATGAGAGTCTGGAGAAGAAGTTCCGCGTGTTTGAGGCTGCACCGCAGGTGAGGGGTGGGGTGTTTAGGGGCACGCGGTTTGTGAGCGCAGGTGTGGCAATGTGGCGGCTATTCTGGAGCTGAATGAGAGTCTGGAGAAGAAGTTCCGCGTGTTTGAGGCTGCACCGCAGGTGAGAAGAGGGGAGTGTGTCAGTAACTGCTCTTCACTGGAATGAGAAATGCCACGTGTTTGAGGCAGCATCGCAGCCGAGCAGTGGGGTGATTGTCAGTGATTGCTCCTCATTTGATTGAGATTCTGGAGAAGCAATTCCGCGTGTTGTGGCAGCGCCACAGCTGAGGGAGCGGTGTTCTGCGTGTCTCAAGGCGAAGAATTCTATCACGATACAACGATAGAATTTCCAGAACAAATGCATGCACCCATTCACCCTCCCCCCTCTTTGCATATTCACCTGTCTCGAGCAGGATGCCAGAGGAGCTCCCTCCAGACGGCCTGCTCCTGATCACTTTGAAGCCTTCCCAGATACCATTTGTGAAGGATTATATCGTTGTATGCTCGAACAAATGCATTCGCTCATCCACTCTCTCCTCCCTTTGCGTATTCACCTGTCTTGAGCACAGGATGCTAGAGGAGCTCCCTCCAGACGGCCTGCTCCTGATTACTTTCTTTGAAGGACCTTGCCAGTTCCACCTACCACCACCTGCTACCAATTCAAAAGCGCAATTCCATCTGCACACTGGGTTTGTGTGTACCATGTACGAGTTGTCAAAGGATTTCAGAGATACTTGAACACAACATGACAACGAGGGTGAGCGGATTCTGATAGAGCATGAATGTCTTTTTGTCTCGCTTGTATGCCTTGTGTGTCTAGTCCATCCCTCGTGCCATTGCTTCAACCTTATGAATCAGTGCCCACAATGAATACCTCATAAAAGACAAAAAAATTAGAGACTTTTTTGATAGTAGTGTTGTAGTCCTAGCATTTCGAGCAGAACTATACTAATCAAACTCTTATCGAATCAAGCTGCCAGTGAAGGCACGAGGCATTCCTTTCCTACAATGTAGGCTCGAGCCGTGTTTCAAAAGTAGCTATATGACAGGTACAGTACGCTTTGTGTCGTAGACGCAGCAGCGTACCTTCCCGATCCACCGTCAACAACAATCGATCGAACGGTCGGCCGCAATCCATGCTCTACTTAGACACCCTGCAGCAGCTAGCAGTGGTAAAAAAGTCTTGATCTGGTCGTCGTTTCCGCGGAAGCCCGCTTTAGTATTTCCGGAGAACGCCCTTTTCTGGCTAGTCTTTGCGAAGAGGTATACATAGCGATGTCGACTCGCATGGTTCGTCGTTTACTGGAGCAGCAGCAGCGAGAAACGGAAAGCGTGAAGCTGAAGGCGGCTGGCCGCGGCTGTGAGGGGGAGCGCGCGGGGGCTGCGGCAGGGGAAGGGGGGCGAGCGGAGGAAGGGGAGAGGGATGAAGGAGAGGAGAGGGAGGACGAGGAGGAGGAGGAAGAGGAGGAGGATGAGGGTGATTCGAGGCTGATAGCGGCTGCACGGAACGCGTTCGACCTTCTAGACATGGATGTACGTGCTGCGTGCTGGGCCGCGCAACTGCGGCCTGGTGAGACGGTTTGTGCGACGGCGCGTGTAACAGGATACGCGACAGCTTGACCGACAGCTTGAGCGACAGCTTGAGCGACAGCTTGGGCGACAGCTTGGGCGACAGCTTGGGCGACAGCTTGGGCGACAGCTTGGGCGACAGCTTGGGCGACAGCTTGGGCGGCAGCTTGCGTGTGGTGTACATTGTGTGGAAACCTCCGTCGTCCCCTGCCTCTCCGCTTTCATTCATGATTGGTGCAACGCAGGAGTACAGCACGAGATAGCACGAGATGAGCGTCGGCCAACCTGCTTCCTCTGCTTTTCACTCCTAGTTGTGACACCTCTTATAATTTTCCAAAGCCATAACCACAACACAACCTGCTTTCTTTGCGCGTTTCGATTCGACTCCTAAGTCGGCTCGTGTGTCGTTAGAGTAAAGCACGAGATAGGCCACCCTCAAACTGCTTCCCTTGTTCATTTGCTCCAAGGTCCCGGGTTTGGTTCTCTTCCTTCGTTTTCGTGGTTGGCAGGGCGAGGGAGAGTCGGAGGTAGGCGAGGAGGAGGAGGAAGAGGAGGAGAAAGGGAGCACTGCAGGTGGCGGTGAGAGCAGGGATGCGAAGGGGCAGCGGAATGAAAAGGAAGAGGAAGAAGGGGAAGGGGAGGAGGAGGCGGAGGAGGAGGAGGAGGAGGAGCGTAGACGGATGGAGAGGCAACGGAAGAGTGGCAAGAAGAAAAAGAAGGGGAAGGGGAAGAAGAAGGGAGGAACGGGAGGAGGGGGAGAGGATACAGGAGCAGTGGGAGGGAAGCAGAGGAACTTAGATCGAGGTGGAGGGGGAGTCGGTGGGGCAGGAGAAGACACTGAAATAGAGCGCGCTTTGGCTGCCATCGAGGGCCAAGCAGCAGCAGCAGCAGTAGCGACACCAGCGGATTCTATGACGTCATCAGCAGCGGCAGCGGCAGCTGGGGGGGGTCCTGTGACGTCAGCGCGACCGCTTCTAGCAGTGGAGATCCGGTTCCTGCGAGCAGATGACGAGCTGAAGCGCATCTTTGGCTCCAAGGTCATCCGGCAGGTGGAGAGGCAAGCAGGGGGAGGAGAAGGAGGCGCAGGAGGAGCAGGAGGGATGGGTGTGAGGGGAGGCGTGCGGGGGAGGCGTGGAGGAGGGGTGGGAGGGAGAGGGGGAGGGGGAGGGGGAGGGGGTGTGGGGAGGAGGGCGTTGCTGGTGCAGGAGAGGGAGCACTGGCCGCCAGGTGCAGTGGCGGAGAAAGGGCTCACTATGGAGTTTGTGCGCGAGAGCAAGGGTACTGGCCCTGCTGCCGCTGCCGCTGCCGCTGGTGCTGCTGCTGGTGATGGTGCTGGGGGTGTGGATGGGGCTTGTGCTTTCCCGGCGCTCCCCGTGCGTGTGTTTCGCTACGTGCGGTCGGCCACCTACCGCGCGACGCAGCACCTGTTTGAGCAGACGGTGGCCTCGCACGACCCCAACCAGCTCTCCCTCTTTGTCGCCCATCATCCTTACCACGTGGAGGGGTTATTGGCGCTCTCTGAAGTGTACAAGCAGGTGAGGTGATGCCTGCAGTGTCAAGGAACGGACTCTGTTCAACAGAGTACGTGCGGTCGGCCACGTACCGCGCAGCGCAGCACCTGTTTGAGCAGACGGTGCCATCGCACGACCCCAACCAGCTGGGGCTGTTTGTGGCGCACCACCCCTACCACGTGGAGGCTCTACTAGCGCTCTCTGAAGTGTACAAGCAGGTGAGATGGTACCTGTGCATGTGCGGGTGGTGGGAGCTAGTGGCAGCCAGCAGCAACTGTCTGAGCAGACCATGACATCGTACGATCCCAACCAGCTGGGGCTGTTCGTGGCGCACCACCCCTACCACGTGGAAGGGTTGCTGGCTCTGTCTGAGGTTTACAAGCAGGTAAGATGATACCTGTGCATGTGCGGGTGGTGCACCATCCTTACCACGTGGAGGGTCTGATGGCTTTCTCTGAAGTGTACAAGCAGGTGAGACGATGTCCGTGTGTGACGCGAGGGATAGCAGCCAGCCGGTGAGAGGTTGGTGGTGGTACCAGCAGGCTACCTGTGATGTGTCATCTAGTTGGCTCTCTGTTTCTGTGTGGCACACCTCTTCTCTCCTACCTCGTGGAGGGGTTGCTGGCTTTCTCTGAAGTGTACAAGCAAGTGGGGTGACCGTGATACCTGTGTGTGCGAGGGTTGGTGCTAGCAGCAAGCAGCGAGCAGCAAGCAGCGAGCCCTGGCCCGGGGTTACGACGGAGTCGTACAAGCCAACAAAAAAAAAAAAAAAAAAAAAAGCAAGCAGCGAGCAGCGAGCAGCAAGCAGCGAGCAGCAAGCAGCGAGCAGCAAGCAGCAAGCAGCGAGCAGCAAGCAGCAAGAAGCGAGCAGCAAACAGCGAGCAGCAAGCAGCAAGAAGCGAGCAGCAAGCAGCGAGCAGCAACCAGCGAGCAGCGAGCAGCACCTGTTTGAGCAGGCGGTGGCATCTCACGGCCCCAACCAGCTGGGGCTCTTTGTGGCTCTACCTGATGGAATCAGCGTGTGCAACCACATGCCTAGGGTTGAGCCTAGTGGTTGCCCATCTGCCTCCTCATCCTGTGCTCATCGCCCACCCATTTTCGTACGCCATTCTCGCACACCTTTCTTTCCGAACCCCCTTTTCTCGTCCTCGTCCCAGGTGGGCGAGGTGCAGACATCAGCAGACCTCCTTGAGAGAGCGCTTTCCGTGCTGGAGGCACCCTGTGCCACATGCGTTCATGCTAGTGCATGCTCATCTCTTTCCCAACGTCCCTTGCTCTTCCCCAATGCTTCCCCGTGGCAGGTGGGCGAGGTGCAGACATCAGCAGACCTCCTTGAGAGAGCGCTTTCCGTGCTGGAGGCACCCTGTGCCACATGCGTTCATGCTAGTGCATGCTCATCTCTTTCCCAACGTCCCTTGCTCTTCCCCAATGCTTCCCCGTGGCAGGTGGGCGAGGTGCAGACTTCAGCAGACCTTCTTGAGAGAGCGCTTTCCGTGCTGGAGGCACCCTGTGCCACATGCGTTCATGCTAGTGCATGCTCATCTCTTTCCCAACGTCCCTTGCTCTTCCCCAATGCTTCCCCGTGGCAGGTGGGCGAGGTGCAGACTTCAGCAGACCTTCTTGAGAGAGCGCTTTCCGTGCTGGAGGCACCCTGTGCCACATGCGTTCATGCTAGTGCATGCTCATCTCTTTCCCAACGTCCCTTGCTCTTCCCCAATGCTTCCCCGTGGCAGGTGGGCGAGGTGCAGACATCAGCAGACCTCCTTGAGAGAGCGCTTTCCGTGCTGGAGGCACCCTGTGCCACATGCGTTCATGCTAGTGCATGCTCATCTCTTTCCCAACGTCCCTTGCTCTTCCCCAATGCTTCTCCGTGGCAGGTGGGCGAGGTGCAGACATCAGCAGACCTCCTTGAGAGAGCGCTTTCCGTGCTGGAGGCACCCTGTGCCACATGCGTTCATGCTAGTGCATGCTCATCTCTTTCCCAACGTCCCTTGCTCTTCCCCAATGCTTCCCCGTGGCAGGTGGGCGAGGTGCAGACTTCAGCAGACCTTCTTGAGAGAGCGCTTTCCGTGCTGGAGGCACCCTGTGCCACATGCGTTCATGCTAGTGCATGCTCATCTCTTTCCCAACGTCTCTTGCTCTTCCCCAATGCTTCCCCGTGGCAGGTGGGCGAGGTGCAGACATCAGCAGACCTCCTTGAGAGAGCGCTTTCCGTGCTGGAGGCACCCTGTGCCACATGCGTTCATGCTAGTGCATGCTCATCTCTTTCCCAACGTCCCTTGCTCTTCCCCAATGCTTCCCCGTGGCAGGTGGGCGAGGTGCAGACATCAGCAGACCTTCTTGAGAGAGCGCTTTCCGTGCTGGAGGCACCCTGTGCCACATGCGTTCATGCTAGTGCATGCTCATCTCTTTCCCAACGTCCCTTGCTCTTCCCCAATGCTTCCCCGTGGCAGGTGGGCGAGGTGCAGACATCAGCAGACCTCCTTGAGAGAGCGCTTTCCGTGCTTGAGGCACCCTGTGCCACATGCGTTCATGCTAGTGCATGCTCATCTCTTTCCCAACGTCCCTTGCTCTTCCCCAATGCTTCCCCGTGGCAGGTGGGCGAGGTGCAGACATCAGCAGACCTTCTTGAGAGAGCGCTTTCCGTGCTGGAGGCACCCTGTGCCACATGCGTTCATGCTAGTGCATGCTCATCTCTTTCCCAACGTCCCTTGCTCTTCCCCAATGCTTCCCCGTGGCAGGTGGGCGAGGTGCAGACATCAGCAGACCTCCTTGAGAGAGCGCTTTCCGTGCTGGAGGCACCCTGTGCCACATGCGTTCATGCTAGTGCATGCTCATCTCTTTCCCAACGTCCCTTGCTCTTCCCCAATGCTTCCCCGTGGCAGGTGGGCGAGGTGCAGACTTCAGCAGACCTTCTTGAGAGAGCGCTTTCCGTGCTTGAGGCACCCTGTGCCACATGCGTTCATGCTAGTGCATGCTCATCTCTTTCCCAACGTCCCTTGCTCTTCCCCAATGCTTCCCTGTGGCAGGTGGGCGAGGTGCAGACTTCAGCAGACCTTCTTGAGAGAGCGCTTTCCGTGCTTGAGGCACCCTGTGCCACATGCGTTCATGCTTGTGCATGCTCATCTCTTTCCCAACGTCCCTTGCTCTTCCCCAATGCTTCCCCGTGGCAGGTAGGCGAGGTGCAGACTTCAGCAGACCTTCTTGAGAGAGCGCTTTCCGTGCTTGAGGCACCCTGTGCCACATGCGTTCATGCTAGTGCATGCTCATCTCTTTCCCAACGTCCCTTGCTCTTCCCCAATGCTTCCCCGTGGCAGGTGGGCGAGGTGCAGACATCAGCAGACCTCCTTGAGAGAGCGCTTTCCGTGCTGGAGGCGGCGTGGCATCCCTGGTTCAACCCGTCTCTGGGCACATGCCGGTGAGAGTGCATAACAGCATGTGTGTGCATGACAGTGCATGTGCGTGTGAGTGTGCATGGTGGAGCGCTCTTTGGCACTCTTCCTTCTGGAGGCAGCGTGGCATCCCTGGTTCAACCGGACTTGCCAGTGAGAGTGCAAAGCAGTGCACGATTGTGCATGCATGCATATGTATGTGTGCAGAGTTTAGCGTTCATTGCCGCTCTTCCTACTGGAAGCAGCGTGGCATCCCTAGTTGGTTCAACCCCTCGCTGGGGACTTGCCGGTGAGCATCGATAACGGTGCATGCATGCATGTGTGTGTCTGTGTGTCTGTGTCTGTGTGTGTGTGTCTGTGTGTGTGTGTGTGTGTGTGTGTGTGTCTGTGTGTGTGTGTGTGTGTGTGTGTGTGTGTGTGTGTGTCTGTGTGTGTGTCTGTGTGCGTGTGTCTGTGTGCGTGTGTCTGTGCGTGTGTCTGTGTGCGTGTGTCTGTGCGTGTGTCTGTGTGCGTGTGTCTGTGTGTGTGTGCGTGTGTGCGTGTGTGTATGTGTGCCTCTGGGCGCTGGGGCTCTGTTCATGCCTCATCCCTGTGCCTCCCTCCCTCCCCACTCCCTCCTTCCCCCTGCCAGCCTGAAGAATTCCCACGAGCCCAATCGAGCGCTCTTTGATGCTCTCTTCCGTCACATGCACCACATGGGTCGCAGGGGCTGCTGGAGCTGCCATTTTCGTCTCGTGCGCCTTTCACCCTCTCTTTTCTCCCCCAACCAGCTTGGAGTTCGCCCACGAGCCCAACAGGGCGCTCTTCGATGCTCTCTTCCGTCACATGCACCACGTGGGTCGCAGGGGGCTGCATGGGCCGCCGTTCTTCTCTCATCCCTGTGCCTCCTCCCCACTCCCTGTGTCTCATGTCTTGAAGCACTGTTTGCTTTGCCTGTCCCATTCCCTCCCGCCCCCAGCTTGGAGTTTTCCCACGAGCCCAACCGTGCGCTCTTCGACGCGCTCTTTCGCCACATGCACCACGTGGGACGCAGGGGCTGCCACCGCGCTGCTTTTGAGCTCTGCCGCCTGCTGCTCTCATTAGACCCGGACACCGACCCGCTCGGTGCGCTCCAGGTGGGTGGGTGTGGCTGACTCTTCTCTGCTAAGTGCTGCCTATCTGCTGTCAGGGGGTCGCAGGGGCTGCCACCGCGCTGCCTTTGAGCTCTGCCGCCTGTTGCTCTCATTAGACCCTGACACCGACCCCCTCGGTGCCCTCCAGGTGGGTGGGTGTGGGGGTGACCTTGTTCTCCACAGGGGTGTGTGTGTGTGTGTGTGTGTGTGTGTGATATATCAGCTGCCTACAGTCATTGGGTCGCAGGGGCTGCCACCGCGCTGCCTTTGAGCTCTGCCGCCTGCTGCTCTCCCTCGACCCTGACACCGACCCCCTTGGCGCTCTCCAGGTGGGTGGGTGGGTGGGTGGGGCTGGTCTTGTGAGTGTTGCGTGCAGCCTGCCTACCCTAGAGGCCTCGCAGGGGCTGCCACCGCGCTGCCTTTGAGCTCTGCCGCCTGCTGCTCTCCCTCGACCCCGACACCGACCCTCTTGGGGCTCTCCAGGTGGGTGTGGGTGTGGCTGACCTTGTGTGTGCTGCGTGCTGCGTGCTGCCTGCTGGGTGTTTTTGAGAATTCTCAAAAACACCCTCCAGGTGGGTGTGGGGGTGGCTGACCTTGTGCGTGCTGCATGCTGCCTGCCTACCTGACCTGCTGCGTCCTCCATCCCACCGGGTGGTGCCTACAGGGTGGTTCTTGCCGGCCTACCTGCTGTCAGTGGGTCGCAGGGGCTGCCACCGCGCTGCCTTTGAGCTCTGCCGCCTGCTGCTCTCATTAGACCCGGACACCGACCCGCTCGGTGCCCTCCAGGTGGGTGGGTGTGGCTGACTCTTCTCTGCTAGGTGCTGCCTATCTGCTGTCAGTGGGTCGCAGGGGCTGCCACCGCGCTGCCTTTGAGCTCTGCCGCCTGCTGCTCTCGCTTGACCCGGACACCGACCCTCTTGGTGCCCTGCAGGTGAGTTTCCAACTCCTGACACGCTGTTGTGTGCACTGTGTGTGTGCACTGTGTGTGTGCACTGTGTGTGTGCACTGTGTGTGTGCACTGTGTGTGTGCACTGTGTGTGTGCACTGTGTGTGTGCACTGTGTGTGTGCACTGTGTGTGTGCACTGTGTGTGTGCACGCACATCCGATCTCCCTGCCACCGCGCTGCCTTTGAGCTCTCCCCTGCCGTCTGCTGCTGTCGCTTGACCCGACACCGACCCCATAGGTGCTCTGCAGGTAACTGTTTGCACAGCTTATACTGCCTCGCCTGCTTGCGTTTCCTCCTCTCCCTTCCCTCTCTCTACCCAACTCGCCTAATCCCCCATCTTCTTTCTTACATCCCCTTTTCTTCCCCTCTCTTTTCCCGCGTTCCGGCTTACTCCTTCCCCGGTGTCCTCCACCCATCTTTGCTCTCAGAGCACGCCAGCTCACCTCCTCTCCCTGCCTCCCTTATCCCCCCTCCCCCCAACCCCTTTTTTCCCCACGCTCAACCCCCAACCTCTCACCCATCGCACCTCCCCACTCTCCTACGCTCTCAGAACTCGCTATTTCACCTCCTCTTCCTGCCTCTCCCATCCCCAACCCCCCTGTCCCCCGCCCCCCCCCACCCCTTTCCCCTCCCACCCATCCATCATTGCACAGATAGACTTCTATTCTCTCAGACCACGCCAGCCCACCTGGCTGCACGATCTGTTATCTGAGAATTCTAAAAAAAAAAGATTTACCGGAGACTTTTATCCATCAGTGCATAGATAGACTTCTATTCTCCCAGAGCACGCCAGCCCACCTGGCTGCACAAATTTTAACGGCTCTTTCTCCTCCATGCTCCTTCCTTCGTTGCATTGCATTGCAACCACCCCCCCAACGCCCGCTCCTCTCTCCTCCTCTTCCCCCACCCTTGTTCCCCACCCCCTACCACAAGTGCATTTTGAGGCGCCTCAATATACACCCTTGTTCCCCACCCCCACCCACCAGTGAATAGACTTCTATGCTCTCAGAGCGTGCCAGTTCACCTTCATTCACTCCCCATTCGTCTTTTCCCTCTCGTTACCCACCTTCTTGCCACACTTTCTCCCCCCACCCTCAATCCCTCTCACCCACCAGTGAATAGACTTCTATGCTCTCAGAGCGCGCCAGTTCACCTTCACTCACTCCCCACTCTCCTAACCCACCTTCTCCTCACCCTTCTCCCCCCACATCTCTCCCCCCATGTCCATCAGCGCTTAGACTTCTATGCTCTCAGGGCGCGCCAATTCACCTCCCTGCACAATCTCTCCGCTCTTCCTCCTCTGCCTCTTCATTCCCCCTCAACTCACAATCCACCCCCACCCCCATCCCCTTCTTCCACATCCATCAGTGCATTGACTTCTACGCTCTCAGGGCGCGCCAATTCACCTTCATTCACTCCCCATTCGTCTTTTCCCTCTCGTTACCCACCTTCTTGCCACACTTTTTCCCCCCACCCTCAATCCCACCCTCCCACCCATCAGTGCATAGACTTCTATGCCCTCAGAGCGCGCCAATTCACCTTCATTCACTCCCCATTCGTCTTTTCCCTCTCGTTACCCACCTTCTTGCCACACTTTCTCCCCCCACCCTCTATCACACCCACCCACCCATCAGTGCATAGACTTCTACGCCCTCAGAGCACGCCAGTTCACCTGGCTGCACGATTTCGTGGACCAATGGGGGGGCGACACGTCACTGGCTGTGCTGCCAAACTTCTGCTTCGCTCTGGCCCAGGCGAGGCTTGGGGAGGCCGAGGGGGATGGGGAGGGGGGAGAGGGGAGTGGGGAGGCAACCAATGGCGTGGCGCCAGCTGGAAGGAACCGTGCTGCCGCCGCCGCTGCTGCTGCTGCTCCTGACGCCGCGTCGCTCCTGCGCGATGCCCTCTTCCTGCACCCGTACGCTCTCATGCCTCCCATCCCCTTGAACGTCTCTTCTCTCTTCTCCCTCTCCTGCGCGACGCTCTCTTCCTGCACCCGTACGTTAAGTGCCTCAGTCTCCCGCCATTCTCTGAATCCTCAGGGGTTGCAGTGCAGTGCAGTGCGGTTCGGTGCAGTGGACGTCCATTGTCATCTTCCTCTGAACACCACTCCTCTCCCCTCCCCTCCCCTCCTCCCCTCCCCTCCTTCCCCACAGCTACGTCCTCAACGGGCTGGTAGAGAAGGCCCCGATCAGGACCTCTCCCCTCCCCTCTTCCTCTGAATTCCACACCTCTCCCCTCCCCTCCTCCCTCCCCCCCTCCCCCCCGCCAGCTACGTCCTCAATGGGCTGGTAGAGAAGGCCCCGATCAAGACCGACGCATCCTGGACGTCCATTCTTAAGCACCCGCTCTTTGCCAGGACGACACCTGGCAGCGCGACATTGGAGCATCTGGTGCGGCTGTACGTGGAGGCTCCCCTCTGTTCCTCCCCTCCCCTCCTCTACGGCTGTACGTAAAGCGCAGTGCCGTGCTGTGGCGGGGGGGAGGGCGTGCAGGCGCTGCTCAAGAAGAACCGTCCCTCTAGTAACCATTCCCCTCCTCCCCCTTTCCCATCCTTGCCTCCCCCCTCCCTTTCTCCCTTCCTCTCCTCCTCCCTCCTCCCACCAGGTACGTGCTGAAGGGGCTGGTAGAGAAGGCCCCAATTAAGACCGATTCGTCGTGGGCCAGCATTCTGAAGCACCCACTCCTCCTTCTCCTCCCTCCCTTCCTCCCCTTCCCCCTCCTCCCACCAGGTACGTGCTCAAGGGGCTGGTAGAGAAGGCCCCGATCAAGACCGACGCGTCGTGGGCCCAGATCCTCAAGCACCCACTCTTTGCCAAGGCGACACCTGGCAGCGCGTCATTGGAGCATCTGGTGCGGCTGTACGTGGAGCGCAGTGCCGTGCTGTGGCGGGGGGACGCCGTTCAAAACCTGCTCAAGCGGGTGGCGGGTGACGTGGTGGCGACGGTGGAGAGGGAGAGGCGGGAGGGCGGCGGGGACGGGGAGATGGAGAGCTGGAAGTGCGTGCGGGAGGTGTCTTTCCCGTCGTCAAGACAGAACGAGTGAGTGCTGGTTTCAAACTTCAGGTATTCAGATCTCAGGGGGTTTGGGAAATTCAGAGCATCCATTGCTTATACCCTTTGTGTTCATCTCAAACGTCACTATCTCGTTCGTTGGCTTCTGAGAGTCAATAGGGGCACATTCCAACACTCAAAAGCCATGTGTTCTGCCACTCTCCTTTCTCACATCACTCCCTCCCACCCTTCCCCTTCCTCCAATCACGGCGCTCACAGATACCGCCACCTGCTGCTATCCGACTTTTCCGACGTCGCCCCCACTCTGCCGCCCGAGGAGCTCATGGCGATGCAACAAGACGAAGCCGGCCGGCAGCGCCGCCCGGGAGCCCACGGCCTCGGCTTCTTGATTGGTGCAGGCGCTGGCGCTGCTGGTGGGGGTGGGGGCGGCGGAGGGGGAGGCGGAGGGGGAGGAGGAGGGGCAGGGGGAGGAGGGGCAGGGCATGGGCAGCAGCAGGTGGATCTAGCAGGGCGGAACCCACTGATGGTGTTTCTAGAGGCGATGCTACCGTGGAACGACTTTGGGGGAGCTGGGGGTGCCGGGGGGGACATGGGGGTGAATGTTGAGGCACAGCAGGCTGCTTTGGCTGCTGCTGCTGCCGCTGCAGCTGCTGCTGCTGCTGCTGATGATGATGATGGTGATGGGGAGGAGGATGAGGATGGAGACCATGATGATATTGAAGAGATTGAAATGGAGGAGAGGCGATAGGATGGAGGCGAGAGTGTGGGATGGTATGGGCAGTTGGTGAGTGGAATGAAGGGATGGTGATGGCGATGAGGATGAGGGTGGAAGCAGAAAAGATTGAAATGGAGGAGAGACGATATGTTATGGCGGCTGGTGAAGAATACAAAATCCTGGTGATTGCTGTGATGGCCTTGTGGTGATTTGGACCTGTGACGTAGAGATGGCTGTTAGACGGGCAGTTGAGAAATGGTGGAGCACTTATGAAGATGTAAATGTGCATACTTAACACATAGAACGATAATTCATGCATGAGTTAGAGAACTTCCTTCTATTAGAAAGCGAGAAAATCTAGCGAGTACCCACAAGTTCAGTGTGTTGAGGGTGTATTAAAGCCGACAACGAAGGAGCTTGTATCGAGAACAGATCAACACAGTCATTCGCCAACTCGCTTCGCAACTCCTGCTTTCGCATGCACCGAGCTCTTGTCTCGCTGCACCACCTCGCACACGGATTTCGCGCGCTCGTTCTGTTAGTGTATCGCGTCGAAAAAGTAACCTAACTTTTCACTTAGCGAAGTCAACTGTAGCGAAGCGAGTTCCTTTCCGCACACATAACTCCGTCGACGCAGGTTCGTCCTAGTCGCGCCATGGCGGACCGCCTGTGCCGCCACATGTCCGAGCAGTAACGACATGTTTCGAGTCGACGCAGCATTCACACCGTCGATCTCGCAGCATTCACAGCGTTCATTTTAGCAGCGCCATGACGGACCGCCTGTGCCACATGTCCGTCGGCGACATGTTTTGAATCGAGTCGAGTATCTCTTCGTCGACCCGTACGTTCATCCTAGAAGCAGCACCATGGCGGACCGCCTGAACAGCATGTCCGTCGGCGACAGCGTCCAGCTGGCGTGCCGTGATTCGCTGCTGCCGTTCCTGAAGCAGGAGGCGCGCGCAGCGGGCGCAGGGGGAAGCGGTGGCGGGGGAGGCGGGGCGGGGTCGGACGGGGGGGAGCTGAAGCTTCTGGAAGTGGACGAGTCGATGCTGGCAGAGCTGCTGCGCGACGGGTGAGGGGGGATGGGGGGAGGGGGGGGGGGGGGGGGGGGGGGGGGTATGGGGTGTGTTGTGCTGCGTATGGCTTAGAGCAGCGGAGGGGAGAGGCAGGAGTGATAGCTTCTGGAAGTTAACGAGTCGATTCTGGCGGAGCTGCTGAGCGACGGGTGAGGGTGGGGGGGGTTGGGCGGTCGAATAATGTGGGAGGGTGGGTAAGGCGGGGCGAGTGATATGGTGTGTTGAGTGGCGTATGGCTTAGTAAGAGGGTGGGGGAGGGGGAGTGATTGCTTCAGGAAGTGGACGAGTCGGTTCTGGCGGAGCTGCTGGGCGACGGGTGAGGTGGGATGGGGGGAGGGAGGGGGGGGGGTATGGGGTGTGTTGTGCGGCGTATGGCTTAGAGCAGCGGAGGGGAGAGGCAGGAGTGATAGCTTCTGGAAGTGGACGAGTCGATTCTGGCGGAGCTGCTGGGCGACGGGTGAGGTGGGGATAGTGTGGGGTGTGGCTCAGAGGGAGCAGAGCAGCTGCTGCTGCTGCACCCTGTGAGATAAACGATTAGCAGCAGCCAGATGTGTTGTGACCCCGTTGGTATGCCATTTTGTTTGAGGTTGATTTTGAGAATTCTCAAAATCAACCTCAAACAAAATGCACCCTGTGAGATAAACGATTAGCAGCAGCCAGATGTGTTGTGACCCCGTTGGTATGTCATTTGGCATGCTCACTCCCTGACCTACCCGTTCTCTCACTCCTCCCTGGCTGTAGACGTTTTTCTCATTCTCACCTCGTTATAAGCACCTCACCTCCTCTTGCCCTATCTTTGCTACACCTCATCGCGTGCAAGATAAAATCGCAGGCTGGTTATAAAGGGTACACCGGAGGAGGGCGACGAGGCAGTTCTCTGCACTCGCAGCAGCACCTTTGCACTCAAGCTGGTTACCACCACCAACCTGCTGCTCCTCGTGCCTCCACATGATGAAAACACACCTGAAAAAGCACCTGAAGAAACGCCTGAAAAGATGCCTGAAGTTGCAAAGGGAAACTCCAGCGAAACTGTGGTTATTCAAGACAAGAAGCCCCAAAATGTGACAATACCGAGGGTGACTGCAGCAGCAGTTGCGTCCAGCCACCTGGAGGTTGTTCCTGTGGCGCCTAGGCTGGCCCGGCTGACGCACCTGCTGTCTGCATGTGCTTATAACGAGTGGGACGAGGAGGAGGAGTTGAGAGGGGGTGAAGGGGAGGGCGAGGAGGGAGAGGGAGGAGGGGAGGGAGGAAGTGGGAGGAGAGGAGCCGGTGGGATGGGAGGAGGAATGTATAATGGAGCAAGGGAGGGTGTAGGAGAGGGAGGTAATGGGAAGAGGGGGAGACGGAAAGGGTACACGTGGCAGGAGCTGGTTGGTCGGGTGCAAGCAAGTGAGGAAGAGATTCGAGCTGGTTTGGAGGCTGCTGGTGCTGTGAAGGTGGGTGGAGAGCGGTGCAAGTGGGTGGAGAGCAGTAGGTGGATGGGAGATTGTGAAGAGAGTTTGTGTGCAGTGAGAGGACTGGTGGCTAGCTGGTCATTGAATCGTGTGCGAGTGAGTGAGAGTATTCATAGCTGCATGGAACAGTCTCACCACTGAGTCTATTTCTGAGGCACCTCGATTCGAACATGAAGCAGCACGGCACAGCATTGGCAGTGGTTAGTCCAGCTGGGCGCAAGTTGGTTCTTACAAAGACTTAAAAATACATCATGACCAGCTTGTCTCAAGTGTTACAGTGGTCGCTGGTCTTCATCCTCCTCTTTTTTCCCCCGTCCTCCCCTCTCCCGTCCTCCCTTCCCCCTCCTCTCGTTCTTCGTTCCGTCTCTCCTGTCCTTTACAATGTCCCCCCCTCCACATTTTTGTTCTCACATCCCCCTCCCGCACATCTGCTCGCCTTACCACCTCGCCGTCCGTTTGACCAATAGATCGGTGACACGTGGCGCGGAGTCGACCCTGGATACCTCGCCTCGCTCCTCCACCTGCTGCTGCTGACGGCAGCAGCCAATGACTGGCCGCCACGTGCCATTCCCGAGGCTGCTGCCGTGGCTGCCATGTGCGGGGAAGGGGGAGAGGAGGACAGGGGAATGGGGGAAGGGGGAGAAGGGGAAGTGGAGGGGAGAAAGGGGGAAGGGGGAGATGGGGAGAGGAAGAGGAGGGAGGGCCCGAGGGCAGAGCTGGTGAGGCATTGCCTAAAGGTGTTTGGTAAGAGGAGGAGGAAGGGGAGGAGAGAGGAGTGGGAGGAGGCAAGGAGCGTCAGAGTGGGGGGAAGTGGAGCGGACGCGAACGGTGGTGGGGTGGGGGGAGGGGTGGGTAGAGGAGAGGAGGGGGAGGAAGGAGAGGATGGGAGGGGAGAAGGATGGGAGAGTGGAGGAGGGGAAGAGGGGGAGTGCGTGTGGTGGGAGTTGGATGAGTGCAAGGTGTGTCGCCACTACGCCAGGCAGCTGTTGGAATCAGGTACCTCTCTCCACCCCCCACTCACGTCCCTTCCCCTGACGTCTAACTGAGTCGACTCAAACACACATGGACGAGTGCAAGGTGTGTCGCCACTACGCCAGGCAGCTGTTGGAATCGGGTACCCCCTTTCCCGCCGCACTTCCCTTTTCCTTACCACTAAACCCCTAAAACGCTAAACCTCTCACATGGATGAGTGCAAGGTGTGTCGCCACTACGCCAGGCAACTACTGGAATCAGGTACCCCCTCTCCCAGCTGCTGTTCCTAGCACCTGTTCATCCCTCACATGTACATCCATATGCATCTCCCTATCCCCTCTTGAGGCGCCTCAAAGTCGTCTACTGGAATGAGGTACCCCTCTCCCAGCTGCTGTCCCGTTTTCCTTTCCGTGTTCCCTGCACATGTTCATCCCTCACATGTACATCTCCCTATTCCCTCTTCTCCCTCACATGCACCTTTGCCGGCACGCCCTGCCGCCTCTCTGCTTTCATGCACACATGGCAAATCAGGTGCTTCCCATGCGCGCCCCGTGCCTGCCTGCCTGCACACCATCCCTTGCGAAACCTCCCTTTGCCTCCTTTGACAACTCCCCCCCCAAAGCACTTGCTGCCGCCACTCTGCCTTCATGCACGCATGGTGAATCAGGTGCTTTTCCGCTCGCCCCATGCCTTGCCTGCCTGCCTGCACACCATCCCTTGCGAAGCCTCCCTTTGCCTCCTTTGACAACCCTTTCCCCCAGGCACTTGCTGCCGCCACTCTGCCTTCACGGATGCGGCAAAGAAGGTACATCCCACCACTGCCATATCACTTCACAACCCTCTCAACCTAAGTGCACCATTCCTCAACCTCTCATGCGAACCCTCTCCCGCAGGCACACGCTGGCGCCTCTCTGCTTTCATGCACGCATGGGCAAAGAAGGTCGCACCCGCCATTGCTGTACCACTTCACACCACTGTAAACCCATGTGCACCATCCCTCAATCTGCCTTCACGTCCCCATGCGAACCCTCTCCCGCAGGCACGCGCTGGCGTCTCTCTGCGTTCATGGAAGCATGGGCAAAGAAGGTCCCACCTGCTATGGCCCAATCCCTGGACGCCACGTGGCTGAGAGGCCTGGCAATCCTACAGCACGTGGGAGGACCAGCAGCAGCAGCCGCCGCGGCAGCGGCAGTGACAGCTGCAGCGACAGCAGCTGGGAAGTCGGAGGAGGAACAGGAGTGTGAGCCGTTGGGAGGGGCGCAGAGCACGTGGGTGCGCTTCCTGCCGAGTGACCAGCTGCCAGCCACGGCAGAGCATCGCTTCCAGGCGCTGTTCACCGTGCAGCCCATGTGGGCTCTTGCTGATCTTGAATCCTATCTCATGTACGTACCTCAGGCTCCTCCTTCTTTTTCTCCTTCAGGTGAGTCTCAGCGACAGCAGCTTCAAGGTAAAACTGCGACATCGTCTCCGTGAACTCTTTCAGGATCCGGTTCTTGAAGAAATTCAGCTTGTCGACGAGTTTGGTATTCTTGGAACCGAGATCAGAGTTCTTCGTCAGATTGATGAAATTAGTCAGGTTGTTCTGGAGCTTCGGAAAGACAGCGTAAGCGTCATTAAGAGCACGGTCAGCTGACTTCTTCTTCATACTGATCATAACATCTTGAGCTTGATGACAGTATGCTTCGCAGGCATCAACAAGGCCCTTATCGGCTTCTTGCTTGATCTCTTCGTTGTTGCAGACAAAAGAGAAAGGCTTGATACGAATACTATGCGGAATGATTCCGTTCTTCTTCTGCTCAGCCATAAAATGATATTGCTGCATCTGGGTCCGGTATTTCAGAAAATGCTTCTTAAAATCCGCAGCAGCTTGAAATTTAAAAACGTTGAGGCAAGAAGGTGTAGCCTGCTTTTCCAGAAAAGCGTCAGATACGTCTCCAAGGAAATCAAATGAATCAGTCATGACGACATCGTTAATGTTGTCGTTGTCCAGGGTCACAGTGACGTTGGCTTCGTGAACCAAAGTCGCAGCTTCAGCCGGGTTCGGAGCATCAACACGCTTCGTCATCGGTTGAGGAGCCATAGTGTGTACTTGGACAGTCACAGCAGGAAGTTCTGCAGACTCGCAGATACGTTTCTTGCTAGGATGAACTGGAGTCGAAAGGATTGGGTCCTCTCGGTCAGTAATGACAACTTGATGTCCCCCTCTGGCGAAAGACTGCCTTTTTGTAGGTTGTCGAGTCGCCTCGGGAATTGATTCCTTGGAGGAATTTTGAAATTTAGGAGTAGACCGGGTCGTATCCCGGGTTGCTTGAAACTCGAAACTGGCCTTCGCAGTGTTTTGTGTCGTCAGACCCAAGGAACACCACTTATTGGTGGTGGTAGACATTGCGTGGCTGCAGATTCGGAGTTGTTAGCAGTTTGTTAAGAAAATGAAACAGGCTTGTAAAAACCTGTGTTTGTTTGTAGAAAAAACTTCTTGTGAAAAAATCCGTGGTAACTAGTTTCGGCGTAGAAGCCTTCGTCAGACCACAAGAAAGCAAATGAGACCTCGAGGCTTATATAATGCCCTCGAGGGGATCCCGCTCGCTATTGAGCTCGCAGGGAAACCCAAGTCTCAGCAAAAAATTCTACAGTCACAGAATTACACTACGCTAGCACTTACGAGCAGAAACTAAAAAGCTTCCAACCCTTTTTGGCAATTTCCATGCCAGAATAGCTCGCCTCCCTGTAAACACATCGCGTGACATTGTATCCAGGTGTGTTTTGAGTCGACTCAAAAAGGACCCCAGGCGCGAACGATCAACCAACGGGTTGAGCAGACATTTCATCACCAGGGGGCCGCGACTTGAGGAGTTGCGAAGAGAATCGGCGCGTAGTAGAAGTTCAGAACGTTCAGAGAAACTGACACTCTTGAAAATGGGGAGAAGAAACCGTTCGGGGTAACCGCGAACACGAAGTCTTGCGAAAAATAAGGCGCGGGAGTTGAAAAAATCTTCGCGCGAGGAGGATCGCAGAAGGAATCTTCTCAGTTCGCTACGAATGAAGCTCACTTTAGTGCTCCTGGTATGGTAGGAGTTGAACGGTAAATAGAGATACTGGTTCATCGGCTTCTGGAAGAGCTTGCAATCCAGGATACCCTTTTCTTGAAAACGTTTACCCGTAAAGAAAGTAACGTCCAGAAAGTCCATGGAATGAACTGAAATGTTCCAGGTCAGTTTAATGGATGGATGGAGATGGTCAAACTTGGACTTAAAGCTGTCAAAGCTGTCTCTCGATCCTTCCCACAGTAAGAGTCCGTCGTCAATGAAACGGAGATGAAGAAACGGAAGCAAACTGCGACTGAAGTGCCCATAGCAGTACCGTGGATCTGAAGGAAGAAACGGTTATCAAAAGTGACGAAACCATTAAACATCACCCACTTCAGCAGGCGAACGATCAGTGGAGCCAGAGGATGTTTAGCCTTCTGGAGGAAATAATCCACAGCATCGATCCCATCCAGTAGGGGAATAGACGGGTAAAGTGACTCCACGTCGTAAGAGGCCAGTAAAAGATTGGGCTGGAACCTCCTCCCCTCCAGGTGCTTAATTAAACTCTGAGAGTCTTTGATGTAGGTTGGTTGTGCAAGCACAAGCGGTCGTAAAACAGCATCCAACCAGCGGGAGACGTTTGAAGTCACCCAAGAGTGAGACGCCGCAATGGGTCGTCCAGCAGGAACCTTCTTGTGCACTTTCAGGATGATGTAAAACGCTGGGACTTTCCAGCCTCCTTTAGGCGCTTTGAAAAAAGAGTTCCAGATACGGGAGCTGAGCAGAGGTTTATAATCTGCACGAATCTGCTCCAATTCATCGACGATGCGAGAAACTGGGACAGATGAGTACTCCCGATAAACAGATGGATTAAGTAGATGCTTGAAGCAGTGTTCTTTATAGAAGTCCCTGTCCATCACAGTTAGTCCGAGGTTTTTATCAGCTGGCTTAAAGATGAGATTAGGATTTCGTCCAAGTCGTTTCAGGATCTGTGTGTAGTTCTTCTTTTTTCGGTGAAGAGTAGTAAAGGGTTGATTGCCGATGCTTTCCAGAGCCGGTTGTTTAAAGACAGCAAGTGCCGTTTCGACTTCAGGAGAAGCTTCTGGCGGGTTCCAGTTATCTCGTTTAGGAAGCTTGTACCCAGGATACTCTGTCTGAAATTCAGCACCGTCAAAGAGATACATTGTCCTGATGCTACGAATGAACTCATCAACCTCCACCTCTACGCTAGAAAGACTTCTGAGACACGGGACTGGAATGTATGTGAGACCTAGACCGAGTAGACTTAGCTCTTTAGGATTGAAGACATGACTGCTGTAGTTATGGATTCCTTTGTTGCTGACACGGTTACGTAGCTGAAACTCCGTTCGCCGACCAAAAAGAATCAGCGCGTATTGATGAATGTCAGCAGCTAGCGCGGCTTGGTTTTTCCGTGGCCGGATCCTCCGTTTTTTGGAGTGTTCGGTTTCTGCTTCTTGCTGTTGGGATGGCGTCCAGGATTACGGCTCGCGGTCTTAGTGAAAGAGCGTCCCATGGTCTTAGCTGCGTCAGAAGATCCGTCAGAAAACTTCTTCTTCTTGTCGGTCTTAGAAGGAGAGACCTTCTTAGAGTTGTTCCTGAGCACCAGAACCGATTTGTTAGTTTTAATCGGGAGAGAACGCTTAACCGAGGTACCCTTATCCTGTCGAGCAGTCGTAGCAGAGTTGTTGTTCGATCGCTTAGGATGAGTACGGTTGTTCGGACGAGCAGCAGGACGATGCTGATTGAACCGCTTCACAGCCTTCTCAGCTTCCTGCTTCGCGATCTCACGAACAGCCGGTTCAACAGGTAAGTTCTCCGCTTCTGTTATAGCAGCAGCCTTCCTGTCATCCTCCTCCTTTTTCTCCTTCAGGTGAGTCTCAGCGACAGCAGCTTCAAGGTAAGTTTTGAGTCGACTCAAAACACACCTGGATACAATGTCACGCGATGTGTTTACAGGGAGGCGAGCTATTCTGGCATGGAAATTGCCAAAAAGGGTTGGAAGCTTTTTAGTTTCTGCTCGTAAGTGCTAGCGTAGTGTAATTCTGTGACTGTAGAATTTTTTGCTGAGACTTGGGTTTCCCTGCGAGCTCAATAGCGAGCGGGATCCCCTCGAGGGCATTATATAAGCCTCGAGGTCTCATTTGCTTTCTTGTGGTCTGACGAAGGCTTCTTCACCGTGCAGCCCATGTGGGCTCTTGCTGATCTTGAACCCTATCTCATGTACGTACCTCAGGCTTGTGGGGCAGGTTGGTGGGAGTGGCGCAGAGCACGTGGGTGCAGTATCTGCCAAGCGACCAGCTGCCAGCCACGGCAGAGCATCGCTTCCAGGCGCTGTTCACCGTGCAGCCCATGTGGGCGCTGGGGGATTTAGAGCCTAACGTCATGTACGTATCTGGTGCGGAGTGGAGTGGTGTGGGCATGCAGAGCCAGTAGCGTGCTGGTCAGGCCACGGCAGAGCATCGCTTCCAGGTGCTGTTCAGCGAGCAGCCCATGTGGACGCTGGGAGACCTGGAGCCCTACCTCGTGTACGTACTTCAGGCATGTGGGACAGACACTGTGGGGCATGCATGGTGGATGTGGGCAGAGAATCGCTTCCAGGCGCCGTTTAACGTGCAGCCCATGGGGGCGCTGGGGGATCTGGAGCCTTATCTCGTGTATGTACCTCAGGCATGTGGTGTGGGTATGTATGGTGAAAGTCAGCAGTGCTGGTGAGGCCATGGCAGAGTATCGATTACAGGCGCTGTTCAGTGTGCAGCCCATGTGGACCCTGAGGGATCTGAAACCCTACCTCTTCCATGCATGGTGGATGTGCTGAGGGCATCCACTTCAGTGTGCAGCCCACGTGGGCGTTGTTTTTTGAGAATTCTCAAAAAGCATACAGTTCAGTGTGCAGCCCATGTGGGCGTTGTTTTTTGAGAATTCTCAAAAAACATACAGTTCAGTGTGCAGCCCATGTGGGCGTTGTTTTTTGAGAATTCTCAAAAAACATACAGTTCATTGTGCAGCCCATGTGGGCGTTGTTTTTTGAAAATTCTCAAAAAACATACAGTTCAGTGTGCAGCCCATGTGGGCGTTGTTTTTTTAGAATTCTAAAAAAACATACAGTTCAGTGTGCAGCCCATGTGGGCGTTGTTTTTTGAGAATTCTCAAAAAACATACAGTTCAGTGTGCAGCCCATGTGGGCGTTGTTTTTTGAGAATTTTCAAAAAACATACAGTTCAGTGTGCAGCCCATGTGGGCGTTGGGAGACCTTGAACCCTACCTCGTGTACGTGCTTAGGGCATGCCTGTGTGGTGCTACATGTATGCATGCACCCCTGTGATCCCCCCCTCCTCTACTCACTATTGAGTCGACTCAAAAGTCAACTCCCTACCTCGTGTACATGCTCAGGGCATGCATGTGTGTTCCTACATGCATGCATGCACCCCTGTGATCCACCCCTCCTCTTCTTACTATCACTAATTTCTCCGGTTGCTCTCCTCCTCTCTCCCCTCTCCCCATACACCACCTTTCCTCAAACGTCACGTCCCACTGCAGTGACCTACAGGGCCCCAGCCAATCAGTGGAGACCTTTCTGATGCGATAAACCTGAACTGTATTCTGTGCGCATTCACCCTTTCCCCCAAACGTCCCACCTCACCACTGCAGTGACCTACAGCGCCCGGGCCAATCAGTGGAGACCCTTCTGATGCGATTCACTCTCCGCCCATCCACTTGTCTCCTCTCCCCTCTGCCCATGCATCCCCTCTCCCCATGCATCCCCTCTGCCCATGCATCCCCTCTCCCCATGCATCCCCTCTGCCCATGCATCCCCTCTCCCCATGCATCCCCTCTCCCCATGCATCCCCTATCCCCATGCATCCCCTATCCCCATGCATCCCCTATCCCCATGCTTCCCCTATCCCCATGCGTCCTCCATTCTTCAGCCAATCAGTGGAGACCCTTCTCATGCGATTCACTCGTCTCTCCGCGTCTCTCCTCATCTGTTCTCATCTCTCTTCATCTCTCTTCATCGCACGTCCCCTGCAGTGATCTACAGGGGCCCGGCCAATCAGTGGAGACCCTTCTCATGCGATTCATTCGTCTCTCCTCGTCTCTCCTCATCTGTTCTCATCTCTCTTCATCTCTCTTCATCGCACGTCCCCTGCAGTGATCTACAGGGGCCCGGCCAATCAGTGGAGACCCTTCTCATGCGATTCACTCGTAAGGTACAGGAGGGGGCAGATAAACCTGAGCTGTACTGCGCTCGATAATACTACTATTGCAATGATTGCATCTATCTGTGGTGCATGCAAGACCATAATCCGTATGGTGACTAAAGCGCAACAATGCTTTATTCTGAAGGGTGGTTAGTTCATCATACACGCCGCAGCCCCTCAGCAAGTTGGCTTGAGCAGCATATTATGCCTGCTGCAGCCATGCAGAGTATGAGGTATGATGCGTTCTGCTAAGTATTTCCCCTATATCAATGCGAGCATCTTCCACCGCGATTTGTACCATTACTAGCTTTTGAAAGAACCTGCTATAACCATACGGTTACGTACCGTATGTATCTGAATCGCAAAAAGGAAAACCCAATAACACCTACCATGCCGGTAAGTACCTTCTACAAGAAACTTATCCCAATGCATCCGACTTACAAACATTTCTAAAAGAAAGAACCTCCTTTACGCAAACCCCAGAAACTCATTCAGCGCTCGAGCGTCCTTCTCGAAATCCATCTCCTTCAAGTACTGCCTCCACCAGGTGCTGCCTGCACCAGGTGCTGCCTCCACCAGGTGCTGCCTGCACCAGGTGCTGCCTCCACCAGGTGCTGCCTCCACCAGGTGCTGCCTCCACCAGGTGCTGCCTCCACCAGGTGCTGCCTCCACCAGGTGCTGCGTCCACCACATGCTGCCTGCACCACATGCTGCCTGCACCACATGCTGCCTGCACCAGATGCCTCTCAAAACCCCAGAAACTCATCTATCGCTTGGGCATACTTCTCAGCCTCCGGTGGTGGGTACGGCACGAGCCCTTCCAAATCCCATCTCCTTCACTGTAGCAAACAGGCTCTCAGGTACCGCCTGCACGAGGTGCTGCCTGGCGGCCAGCTGTGGCCTGCACCAGGTGCCCTTTGAGTCAACTCAAAACCCTAGAAACTCATCTATGGCTTGAGCATATTTCTCTGCTTCCGGTGGTGGGTACGGCACGAGCCCTTCCAAATCCATCTCCCGCACTGTAGCAACCAGGCTGGCAGTGACAGCCACTCAAAACCCTAGAAACTCATCTATGGCTTGAGCATGTTTCTCTGCTTCCGGTGGTGGGTACGGCACGAGCCCTTCCAAATCCATCTCCCGCACTGTAGCAACCAGGCTGGCAGTGACAGCCACTCAAAACCCTAGGAACTCATCTATGGCTTGAGCATATTTCTCTGCTTCCGGTGGTGGGTACGGCACGAGCCCTTCCAAATCCATCTCCCGCACTGTAGCAACCAGGCTGGCAGTGACAGCCCTTTAGTCAACTTAAAACCCCAGAAACTCATCTATAGCTTGAGCATACTTCTCAGCCTCCCGTGGTGGGTACGGCAATAGTCCTTCCAAGTCCATCTTCCTCACTGTAGCAACCAGGCTCTCAGGTACCGCCTGCACCAGGTGGTGCCTGGCCGCCAGCGCCCCTGCGAGCTCCCGCTGGTGGTTGTCCATGAGAGCCCCGTTCACCACCACCACCAGCCGCTTGCTTGCTCTCAGCGCCTCGAATATGCTGCCTGAGCCTGCGGGGCAGCAGGGGAGAGAGAACAGCATAACAGAGGGGAGGGCTTGGTCGTTCACCGCCACCACCAGCGGCTTGCTCGCCCTCAGTGCCTCGAATATGCTGCCTGAGCCTGAGCCTGTGGGGTATGAGGGGAGAAGGAAGCATAACAGGGGGTAAAGCTTGGTAGTTCACCACCACCACCAGCGGCTTGCTTGCTCTCAGAGCCTCGAATATGCTGCCTGAGCCTGCGAGAACCAAGGGGGGAGGGAGGAGGAGAGGAGGGGGGAGGGAAGGAGGAGGAGGAGGGGGGGAAGGAGGAAGGCAGAGGCGAGGCGGGATGGGTGAGTCTCTCAGGTAGCCCCTGCGAGCTCCCGCTGGTGGTTGTCCATGAGAGCCCCGTTCACCACCACCACCAGCCGCTTGCTCACCCTCAGTGCCTCGAATATGCTGCCTGAGCCTGGAGGGACCGTGGAGGGGGAGGGGGAGGGGGGCATAACACGGTGGGGGGGAAGGGGCGAGAGAATGAAGTGGGGAGGGGGGACGGACGGACGGGAGGGAAGGGAGGGGAGGAGAAAAAAAGAAGAGGGGTTGGAGGAGAGGCGAGATGGGTCACTCACACGTGTGGCCTGCACCAGGTACCGCCTGCTTGCATGTGTCTCAGCGCCCCTACCATACCAGCTCACAACTCAGTAACGGCCAGCAGCGCAAGATTCTTGAGTTAACTCAGAAGACACGTCACACCACCGCGGCACAGTGTGGCGTGCAGATGAAAGAATGTGAAAGAACGCGAGAGAAAGCACAGACGTTCCTCTCTCTGCCTGCCGGCCTGCACGGCTTTGGATGCGAGCTAGTCAGTTTACTTGTGTGGCTTATAACGAGGATGTTTGCTCACCTGCGTGGCCTGTAACATGATTTGTTTGCTCACCTGCGTGGCCTGTAACATGATTTGCTCGCTCACCTGCGTGGCTTATAACGAGGGATGCTTGCTCGATGTAGGGTGCCATGGACGGAGCAAACTCGAAGCTCGTTACTGTCACACCCGTGCTGTCAGGGTCGCCCTGCCATCTTGACACACAACGAGGTGTAGCAGAGCAGACACCACAAATAATCACAGAAATTCACGCTGGAAACTCGTTAGAGTCACATCAGTCCAATCCCTCGCCCCCTCTGCACCAGCACGGGGGTGAAGCCATGCTTTTCAAGAGCTCTCTAAAAAATTCTTGGAAATCGCTGCAGCGAACTCGAGGACCAAGAAAAGCCTTACGCTGTTCGAAAGAGCTCCCTGCGGCGTTCGCTGCTTCAGCGCCGCACATACCTCAGCGGCCCATATCCACGCTTGTGTGTGCCTTACCGCGCATACCTCAGCCGGCTTGTATGTACGTCCCTCGTCCTCGCTGCACCACCACGGATGTGAACCCGCGCTGCTCGAGAATGCTCTGCTCTGCGGGGTTCCCTACACTCTCAGAGGTGCAAAATAAGGAGAGATCCCTCGTCAGCGCATACCTCGGCGGGTTTGTACGTTCCTCGTCCTCGCTGCACCACCAGGGGTGTCAACCTGCGGTGCTCGAGAAAGGGCTCTGCTCTGTTACACTTTCACATGTGAAAACGTGACGGAAACATTCCTCGCCAGAGCATACCTCGGCGGGTTTGTACGTCCCTCGTCCTCGCTGCACCACCACGGAGGTGAACCCGCGCTGCTTCAGCGCCGCGCGGCATTCACGGCTGTCCACCACTTCTACTAGCGCGTCGAACCGCGTCGTACCAACCGTCACGAACACGGACCCACCAGCGCCAGCCGCGCTAGTTGTAGCGGCGATGCGATCATCGCTTTCTCTGCTCTGCGATCCTGGATCGCCAGGCTCGGCGCGCATATCCGCTGAGAAAAGTCAAGTACTAAGTTTAGCGGCTGAGGTGAACTTCTAGGAATTCGACCGATCTTGAGGCGCTTGGATTTCAACGGTTTATCAGTTTGTTCTAGGTTCAACGGTTTCCACAGGTACCAAGTTGTCAGGGTACACGCGGCGATCCTAGCTCGCTGTGGGTGTAACGTAACGGCTACTGGGAGCTACTAAAGCAGCCAGTGAAGGCGACGCAATCGCGCGTTACTGAATATATCGATACCCGAGTTATAGTGCTGTAAAATTCTCCTCCTGCAATGGCTTACAAACCTTTTGGTTCCTCCTCGCGAAGGGGTTAGTTGGGAATCTAAGGGTCAAACGAGATAGGGAAGCGAATGGCTGTGAGGCGCACTCGGAGTTCAGTTCTGGCGTAACGACGTGCTATGAAGTGCTATGAAGGTACTCCCGACAGCACATGCCAGTTTCAGTTCGTGTGTCAGTGATCGTAATGAAATTAACCGCCCCGTGAACAGAGCGTGAATGCGCCTTTGTGTAGTTTTCTCTCTTGCAACTTTACCAATTGGCAGACCTTTCTCATAATCTTCTAGGAGCTTCTTTCATGAAGTTACTTCACTGCCATACACCCTCATCGCTTCCCTTTCTGTACGCCTTGCTTCGTCACGCCGTTGTGTGTGAAAAGTCTTCAAGCGTAAGAGCACAAACCTGATCAACCTGTCGTGTCATAATCGCCGGTTTTGCCGTTCGTACACATTCACCGCTTGATAAGTGGCCTATTCCGCAATAGGATTCGAAGTGCGTCACTTTCTGACCATCCAACGAGTGACAGTAAAGGCATCACGATAAGCCAGCTGCTTTGACTTCCTGAGGTAAGCAGCCATGGGTAAGAACGAGTTTCTTACGCCGAAGGCCATCGCGAATCGAATTAAAGCCAAGGGACTGCAGAAGCTGCGATGGTACTGCCAGATGTGTCAGAAGCAGTGCCGCGACGAGAATGGCTTCAAGTGCCACTGCATGTCGGAAGGCCATCAACGGCAGATGCAGGTTTTCGGTATGAACCCGGAGCGATTCGTGGGAGGTTATTCCGAGGAGTTCGAAAAAACATTCATGGAGCACATTCGACGTAGTCACAGGTTCAGCCGCGTGGCCGCGACGGTCGCTTATAACGAGTACATCGCGGACCGGCACCACGTGCACATGAACTCCACGAAGTGGCTGACGTTAACGGAATTCGTCAAGCACCTCGGCCGAGAAGGTCTCTGCAAAGTCGAGGATACTCCCAAGGGCTGGTTCATCTCGTATATTGATCGCGAGCCGGAAACGCTGTTTAAGGAAGGGCAGAAGAAGAAGCGGGAGCGCGCGGAGCTGGTGGGGGAAGAGCGACACGAGAAGGAGATTCAGGAGCAGATCGAACGGGCGAGATCGAAGCAGCCGCAGCCGGAGGATGCGGAGGCGAAGGATGCGGATCCGGAGAAGAAGGTCCTGCAGCGTGATCCCAACGCGGGGGAGAAAATCGCGTTTGCGTTCGGGGGCTTGGGGGGAGGAGGTGGAGGGAGTGGGTCGTCTGGAGTGCAAAAGACAGGTGGGGGTCAGAAAGCAGGAGGGAGCAGCGCAGCAGCAGCAGCAGCTGCAGGTGGTGTTGGTGGTGGTGGCTTACAGGTGGAGAGTAAAGCAGGAGCAGCGGTGTTTGGTGTAGAAGATGATGATGATGTTGATGGGGATGATAACGGGGTTGCGGTGGGGAAAAAAGCAAGGCGAGTTGGGGAGAATGGGGATAAAGGAGGGTCCAAATCAGGTGGTGGCCCTGCTGCGGGAGGAACCCTAGCAGCGTTGATGGAAGAGCAGGAGAGGGCAAAGGAGAGGGCGAATCGGAAGGACTACTGGCTTACAGAGGGCATTGTGGTGAAGATAATGAGTAAAGCGCTCAAGGAGAAAGGGTATTATAAACAGAAAGGCGTGGTGCTGCGAGTGATTGATAGATACGTTGGAGAGATTAAGACGCTGGAGGAGGGGCATGTGGTAAGGGTGGATCAAGAGGAGTTGGAAACGGTGCTGCCGCAGATTGGAGGGGTGGTGAGGGTTGTGAATGGGGCGTACAGGGGTTCCCTGGCAAAGCTGGTGGGTGTTGACACGGAGAAGTTTTGTGCTAAGGTGGAAATTCAGAAGGGTGCGTTCGATGGGAGGGTGATTCCAAGGATTGATTATGAGGATATTTGTAAGGTGCATGTGAAGTGACATGGTGTCAGACAGAATTAGATGTACAGTGTGAGTTTTGGGAATGCATGAACATGCATATGGATTGAACACATCCATATTGTGAAGTTTATATAAACTTGCTGGGTGTGTGTGCAGCTTGTCACAAGTACCAGGTACCAGCCGAGATTCATACAGCCATAACATGCAAGGGCGTACTGCAAATGGATGTTTTCAATGAAGCCTACCTATTTGATTGATGACAAAGTGCCAGCTGCGAGTGTACGAGGCCTTATCTTTATAGGACATCTCGTTATGACGGGTAACTACGGTCTCGGTTGAACAGCATGTCCTCCCTCTCCTGGTCTGCCTCCTCAGCCATGGCTGCCAGTTCCGCCTCCAACTGCACTTCCTCTGCCACCAGCTGTACGTCTTGCAGCTTATCCTCTTTATAGGACATCTCGTTATGACGGGTAACTACGGTCTCGGTTGAACAGCATGTCTTCTCTCTCCTGGTCTGCCTGCTCAGCCATGGCTGCCAGTTCCGCCTCCAACTGCACTTCCTCTGCTACCAGCTGTGAGTACATGGAATACACTCTCCTGCTGCGTAACCAGGTTACCACCGACATCACCGCCAGCATCACAATTATAGTAGCTCCAGCTGCTGTGATGATTATGTATTTCGGAGCGAGGTATTTCGCCGGGATGTAGCGAACCTGGAACAGGCACTCTCCAACAATAATATTTTCGGGCAGTTTTGCCGCTCCAGGCAGGTTCTCGCTGCAATTTTTGGGCAGGTTCCAAGAGTAGGAGACGTTGTGGTTGCCCGCGCTGTCGGTGCAGCTTTGCTGGAAGCTGCTGTAGTCGTCTGCAGTGCACGGGGAGCATAGCTGGTCGGGAGGGAGAGGGGCCTGGGCGTTGGGTTGACACACCTGGTGGGAGAAGGGAACGAGGGGGGGGTGGAAGAGAGAGGAAGAAGGAAGGAGGAGAGATGTGAGAGGGCACTAATCCACCGCGTAATTCCTCCCCCTTGGTAAATGCTGGATGACACAACACAGACTCTCGCACTCACCCTTGGATGTTGGTACTTGAACGTGGATCGCTTGTTGTTGTGGCAGTCTGCCACTGAAACCTCCTCCACGTCTTCCTCAGAGCACAGAGGGCACGCATACGCACTATACCACGCCAGCTCATACGCACAGCCAGGCACCACCCTGTGCTGCTTTCACACTCACCCTCGGATGGCGATATTTGTAAGTCGCTCGCTTGTTGTTGTGGCAGTCTGCCACTGGCACCTCCTCCTCCTCCACATGTTCCTCAGAGCACAGAGGGCATGCATACGCGCTATACCACGCCAGCTCATACACACACCCGGGTACCACCCCGTTGCCTCCCCCCTTCCCCCCGGTGTTGCATTCACACTCACCCGTGGATGCCGGTACTTGTAAGTTGCCCGCTTGTTGTTGTGGCAGTCTGCCACTGTTACCTCCTCCACATCTACCTCAGAGCACAGAGGGCACGCGTATGCACTGTACCACGCCAGCTCATACACACACCCCGGCACCAACCGCTCACCCTTGGATGCCGGTACTTGAACGTGGATCGCTTGTTGTTGTGGCGGTCTGCCACTGGAACCTCCTCCACATCTTCCTCAGAGCACAGAGGGCACACATACGCACTATACCACGCCAGCTCATATGCACACCCCGGCACCAACCCGCCACTCACCCGTGGATGCCGGTACTTGTAAGTTGCCCGCTTGTTGTTGTGGCAGTCCGCCACTGGCACTTGTTCCACATCTTCCTCAGAGCACAGCGGGCACACATATGCACTGTACCACGCCAGCTCATACACACACCCTGGCACCACCCCGTCTCCCCCCTGCGTGGCGGGGACTGGGTCACCCCCCCGCTTGGTCCACGCGGGGAAGGGCAGGGACGCGTTGAATGCTGCCCACCTGCCTTCTTCTGTCCATGGCGAGGGGTGGCCGATGCCTGGGAGGGGAGGGGAGGGGAGTCAGAAGTGCACTAGATGGAAATTTGGGTCCAAATTAAGGAAACTGGGTGCAGGGTGGGGGTAGGAAGGGAAGGGCAGGGACGCGTTGAATGCTGCCCGCGTGCCTTCTTCTGTCCAGGGGGAGGGGTGGCCGATGCCTGGGAGGAGGAAGGGAGGAGGGAATGAGGGGAATGAGTAGCACAAGAATAATGATGTGAAGGGACGGGGAAGGGCAGGGACACGTTGAATGCTGCCCGCGTGCCTTCTTCTGTCCATGGCGAGGGATGGCCGATGCCTGGGAGGGGGAGGGGGGAGGGGGGAGGGGGGAGGGGGGAGGGGGGAGGGGGGAGGGAAGAGAGGAGATTGGGGGCTGCAAGAAGAGGGAAGGAGGAGGCAAGAGTGGGGCAAAACGGAAGGTTGGATGCCTGGTTTGCAGAACTATAGGCGATGCATATGATTCTGCAGGGTGTTTTTGAGAATTCTCAAAAACACCCTGCAGCAGAGTGGGGCAGAACGGAAGGTTGGATGCCTGGTTTGCAGAACTATAGGTGATGTATAGGAAGAAACCAACCGATCTATTCCCATGCTCGCAGTAACACCACCACTTTCGTCTTGTCTTCCTGATCTCGTGCCATCCCCCTCCTATCCTTCAACTGATCCATTCATGAGCGTCAGCCTCACACACCTCTCCTCTCCGCCCACCCATGCTGGCCCTGCCACTCTCCCTCCTCCTACTAGTCTCACACAGTCAACCCCCCCTCCCTTCCCCCTTCCCCTTGCGCTCACCTGCATTAGGATCACAGATAGACGTGCTCGTCAATTTTTGAGTCGACTCAAAAATCGACTCATCACACACGGATCACAGATGGACGTGCTTGTCAGCCGCCCATACCTCTCCTCCCCGTTCTCCTATGCTACCAGTGCCTATTTCCCTCCTGCTAGTCACGCACACTCACAGTCCCCCTTCTTTTCGCTCACCTGCATTCAGTCACAGATGAATGTGATCATCAGCCATCCATACCTCTCCTCTTGGCACTGATCAAGGCTCAAAATGTCAGAGACTCGCGGGCCACAGATGAATGTGATCATCAGCCATCCATACCTCTCCTCTTGGCACTGATCAAGGCTCAAAATGTCAGAGACTCGCGGGCCACAGATGAATGTGATCATCAGCCATCCATACCTCTCCTCTTGGCACTGATCAAGGCTCAAAATGTCAGAGACTCCCGGGCCACAGATGAATGTGATCATCAGCCATCCATACCTCTCCTCTTGGCACTGATCAAGGCTCAAAATGTCAGAGACTCGCGGGTCACAGATGAATGTGATCATCAGCCATCCATACCTCTCCTCTTGGCACTGATCAAGGCTCAAAATGTCAGAGACTCGCGGGCCACAGATGAATGTGATCATCAGCCATCCATACCTCTCCTCTTGGCACTGATCAAGGCTCAAAATGTCAGAGACTCGCGGGCCACAGATGAATGTGATCATCAGCCATCCATACCTCTCGTCTTGGCACTGATCAAGGCTCAAAATGTCAGAGACTCGCGGGCCACAGATGAATGTGATCATCAGCCATCCATACCTCTCCTCTTGGCACTGATCAAGGCTCAAAATGTCAGAGACTCGCGGGCCACAGATGAATGTGATCATCAGCCATCCATACCTCTCCTCTTGGCGCTGATCAAGGCTCAAAATGTCAGAGACTCGCGGGCCACAGATGAATGTGATCATCAGCCATCCATACCTCTCCTCTTGGCACTGATCAAGGCTCAAAATGTCAGAGACTCGCGGGCCACAGATGAATGTGATCATCAGCCATCCATACCTCTCCTCTTGGCACTGATCAAGGCTCAAAATGTCAGAGACTCGCGGGCCACAGATGAATGTGATCATCAGCCATCCATACCTCTCCTCTTGGCGCTGATCAAGGCTCAAAATGTCAGAGACTCGCGGGCCACAGATGAATGTGATCATCAGCCATCCATACCTCTCCTCTTGGCACTGATCAAGGCTCAAAATGTCAGAGACTCGCGGGCCACAGATGAATGTGATCATCAGTCATCCATACCTCTCCTCTTGGCACTGATCAAGGCTCAAAATGTCAGAGACTCGCGGGCCACAGATGAATGTGATCATCAGCCATCCATACCTCTCCTCTTGGCACTGATCAAGGCTCAAAATGTCAGGGACTCGCGGGCCACAGATGAATGTGATCATCAGCCATCCATACCTCTCCTCTTGGCACCGATCAAGGCTCAAAATGTCAGAGACTCGCGGGCCACAGATGAATGTGATCATCAGCCATCCATACCTCTCCTCTTGGCACTGATCAAGGCTCAAAATGTCAGAGACTCGCGGGCCACAGATGAATGTGATCATCAGCCATCCATACCTCTCCTCTTGGCACTGATCAAGGCTCAAAATGTCAGAGACTCGCGGGCCACAGATGAATGTGATCATCAGCCATCCATACATCTCCCTTTTCTCCCATGCTGGCACTGCCAATCTCCCTCCTATTACTCTCACACACCCACCACCCCCACCCCCCTCACCTGCATTAGGGTCACAAATGAAAGTGATCGTAAGCCGTCCATACTTCTCCTCCCCGCCTTCCCCCTTCCCCTTCCCCTTCCCCTTCTCCGCATCTTCCCCCATCCCCCACCTGCTCCCCTCCCCCCCTCCCCCCTGCACGGAGAAAGGGCATCTCTCCCCTTCCAGCACCATCACCAACCCCCTCCGCGCAAGGATGGGGTCGGGACGGTGGGGAAGGGGGTCGGTGGCGTTTGGGGGGTGCGAGAGGGGGGAGAGGGGGAAGAGGGAGACACGGTCGCCTAGGCTGTGGGATCCTCTGTGCTGCTCGTCCAGCATCACCTGAGGATTCACCTGAGCGCAACAGAGAAGGGAAAAGGGCGCGGCAAGGGGAAGGAAGGAAGATGAGATGAGATGCAACATTGGTGAATGCGGCCACAGAGTGACAGACTTGTGTTTTGAGGCGCCTCAAAACACGCGGCAAGGGGAAGAAAGGAAAACGAGATGAGATGAGATGCAACATTGGTGAATGTGACCACAGAGTGACAGATGCTTGTGCGTCGTGATGCTCGTCCCGCATCACCTGGACATTCACTTGACTCCTTTCAACGCTTGCAACATTTCATGAACCGTTCCAAAACTCACCCGACATGCCAGGTCGCTATCAGCTTCCCTTCTGAATCCTTACACTCCACCATCCTTCCCTTCCCTTCCCTTCACCTGCTTCCTCGCTTCCCCCCCCTCTTCTCTGCCATTCAACACTCACCCGACATGCCATGGTCGCTATCGGCTTGCCTTCTGCATCTGTACACTCCATCGCCCTTCCCTTCTCCTTCTTCCCCTCCTTCCCCTCCCCACCACCCCCTCCCTCCGCACCCTGCCCTACTTCTGTGCTCTTCCCTTCTCTCTCCCCCCTCTCTGTGTTGCCTGCAGGGGCAGCACACACAGACACAAAATACAGGGGCCCGTGCTGGCGATCCGCAGCCGTTGGATCCTCAAAGATCGGCCCAAACATGCGGCCAGGATGGACGCGGGAGAGCGGGGAGAGATCGTAGACGATTGGAGAGGAGGCGGATGGAATGGAGGGGGAGGGGGTGCTGGTGGTGGCGGTAGTGTTGGTGGTGGTGTTAGCATTAGCTTCACTTGTGCTGCTGCTGCTGGGGGGGTCCAGATCAGAAACTACTTGGAAGGTGCAGAAGGAGGAGGGAACAGTGATGTCACCAACAGTGCAAGCAGTGCTGCCTGGGAGGGACGAGGTGCCAGGGCCGCAGGGGAGGCAGGAGGAGTGTGTGCCCTGATGGGGAAGGGAAAAAGGGGAAAGTGAAAGGGGATGGATATGGGAATGGGGATGAGTGGGACAGGCACATGCATGCAAGCAGTGCTGCCTGTGAGCGACGAGGTGCCGGGACCGCAGGGGAGGCATGAAGAGTGGGCGCCCTGGTGGGGAAAGGGAGTAGGGATGGGAGAAGAACTCAAGGGGTGCCGGATTATGGAGGCGAACAGGCACAGGAGGGAGAATGAGCAGGTGAGTTGAACATGGCTACATGGCTCTTGCATGAGAATGGGATAGATCCAAGCGTAAAAAGTGATTTCTTGAGACGTCTAAAAAATTCACTTTTTACAAGAACGAGCAGGTGAGTTGAACATGGCTACATGGCTACATGGCTAGATGGCTACATGGCTCTTGCATGAGAATGGGATAGATACAGGCCCACTTCATGCGGGACCAAGATCTGTGGAGAGATAGAAAGAGAGAGTAGATACGGATTTTAAAGGAGTTGAAAGGGTGTGTAGAGGGTCCGCCACGGGTTCAGAGGAGTGCGGAGGGATTACCTTGGGTCTTGGGTTGAAGGTGTTGGCAGGGCATTTTACACACGGCAGGCCCGATCCCTCGCTGTACTCTCCTGCTCATACAGTCACACAACCGAGTAACAGTCACGGTCATTCACAAACAGTTGAACACGAGTAAGTGTGGGTGGAGGGCAAAGGGAGAGGGGAACATGGGGGGATGGAAAGTGGAAGGTAGAGGGAAGGAGATGAGAGGAGGAGAAAAGAAGTACTCTACCATGTGCTGTGCTGCCTTCACCTGCACTGCACCCCTCCTCACCTCCCTCACCTGTAGGCCCGGCCGGGGACAGACCTACCAGGGCGGCAGGGCTTCCAGGTGAGGGAGGTGGCATCGGAGCTGCGTTGGGGGCAATGGGCACACAGGCAGGCGCGCCCCCCCCAGTGCTGCCCCACACGATGATATCGAGGATCCCCAGCAGAGGGATGGGCAAACAGGCGGGAGCACCCCCCACCGTGCTGCCCCACACAGTGACGTCCAGGATCTCCCATTCCCATGGGGTGACTCAATGTCTTACCAGGCGGACAAGCCTTCCATGTGAGGGTGATGAGATCAGGGGCAGTGCCAGGGGGAATGGGCACACAGGCGGGAGCGCCCTCCACGGTGCTGCCCCACACGGTGATGCCCAGGATAGGATCTCACTTCCCCATCCCATGGGGTGTTACAAGCACGTACCAGGCGGACAGGCCTTCCATGTGAGGGTGGTGGCATCCGGAGCTGTTCCAGGCGGAATGGGCACACAGGCAGGCGCACCCCCCACAGTGCTGCCCCACACTGTGATGTCCAGGATCTCCACGGAGTCCCGCATGGGGTATTATTACAATGCAATACGAGGACGTACCAGGGGGACAGGGCTTCCAAGTGAGGGTGATGGGGTTGAGGCAGGGGCAAAGCTGTGCTTGCTGGGGGAGAGGAGAGGAGAGGAGGAGAGATAGGAGGAGCGTACCAGGGGGACAGGGCTTCCAGGTGAGGGTGGCAGCATCCGGGGCAGTGCCGGGAGGGATGGGCACACAGGCAGGCGCGCCACCCACAGTGCTGCCCCACACGGTGATGTCCAGGATTTCCGCTGAGTCCCGCATGGGGTATTATTACAATACAATACAAGGACATACCAGGGGGACAGCGCTTCCAAGTGAGGGTGGCAGGGTCAGGGGCAGTGCCAGGGGGAATGGGCACACAGGCAGGCGCGCCCCCCACGGTGCTGCCCCACACGGTGATGCCCAGGATCGCCGCAGGCAGAGTCCTTTCTTGGGGTGTTACAATACAAGGACGTACCAGGCGGACAGGCCTTCCAGGTAAGGGTGGCAGCATCCGGGGCAGTGCCGGGGGGAATGGGCACACAGGAAGGCGCACCCCCCACAGTGCTGCCCCACACGGTGATGTCCAGGATCTCCGCGGAATCCCGCCTGGCGATCGCCTTGTCAGCGTTGAGCGTGACCCAGATCCACATCAGGCTGTGGTTGCCAGCTGGCAGCGGCCACGTGTCGCTGGTTGTCGGGCCGGCTGGCGCTGCTGAGTCAGCACCCGGGTCGTCCTGCAGTGGAATGGAGAAGATTACGAAGGCAGAGGATAAAGAGAATAAAGAGGATAAAGAGGATAAAGAGAATAAAGAGGATAAAGAGGATGAAGAGGATGAAGAGGATAAAGAGGATAAAGAGGATAAAGAGGATAAAGAGGATAAAGAGGATAAAGAGGATAAATGGATAAAGAGGATAAAGAGGATAAAGAGGATAAAGAGGAGAAAGAGGATAAAGAGGATAAAGAGAATAAGAGTCAGTGGAATTGCAGGACGAGGCGGGTGCTCCAAAAGCTGATAACAAAGGGAGTCAACGCGATATTGTCATATCCCACTGATCCTTCTCTTTCTACCAGCAGTTTCAACCCTCACCTCAATGTTGAGCACCAGCGGGTCGTCCACATAGAAGAAGAGCCCTCTCCGCAGGTCAAAGTGGCAGTGACTGGTGGACGCTGCAGTGAGAAACTGCTGCTCTCTCTATCGGTAGTTTCCTCACCTCAATGTTGAGCACGTAGAAGAAGAGCCCTCGCTGCAGGTGACGGTGGCAGTGACTGGTGGACGCGAAGCTGCAGTGAGAAACTGCTCTCTCTATCGGTAGTTTCCTCACCTCACCTTGATGTTGAGCACGAGTTGATCGTCCCGTCCACATAGACGAAGAGCCCTCTCTGCAGATATGATGTGCGAGGTGCCTTGAAAGAGCTTCCTCTGTATTAGCACAACTCACCCACCTCAATGTTCAGCACGAGCTGGTCATCCACATAAAAGAAGAGCCCCCTTTGCAGGTCGCAGTGGTGCAGCAGTAAGTAACTGATGGACTTTGATCTCCCTTCTCACCTCACCCCCACCCACCTCAATGTTCAGCACGAGCTGGTCATCCACATAAAAGAAGAGCCCCCTTTGCAGGTCGCAGTGGTGCAGCAGTAAGTAACTGATGGACTTTGATCTCCCTTCTCACCTCACCCCCACCCACCTCAATGTTCAGCACGAGCTGGTCATCCACATAAAAGAAGAGCCCCCTTTGCAGGTCGCAGTGGTGCAGCAGTAAGTAACTGATGGACTTTGATCTCCCTTCTCACCTCACCCCCACCCACCTCAATGTTCAGCACGAGCTGGTCATCCACATAAAAGAAGAGCCCCCTTTGCAGGTCGCAGTGGTGCAGCAGTAAGTAACTGATGGACTTTGATCTCCCTTCTCACCTCACCCCCACCCACCTCAATGTTCAGCACGAGCTGGTCATCCACATAAAAGAAGAGCCCCCTTTGCAGGTCGCAGTGGTGCAGCAGTAAGTAACTGATGGACTTTGATCTCCCTTCTCACCTCACCCCCACCCACCTCAATGTTCAGCACGAGCTGGTCATCCACATAAAAGAAGAGCCCCCTTTGCAGGTCGCAGTGGTGCAGCAGTAAGTAACTGATGGACTTTGATCTCCCTTCTCACCTCACCCCCACCCACCTCAATGTTCAGCACGAGCTGGTCATCCACATAAAAGAAGAGCCCCCTTTGCAGGTCGCAGTGGTGCAGCAGTAAGTAACTGATGGACTTTGATCTCCCTTCTCACCTCACCCCCACCCACCTCAATGTTCAGCACGAGCTGGTCATCCACATAAAAGAAGAGCCCCCTTTGCAGGTCGCAGTGGTGCAGCAGTAAGTAACTGATGGACTTTGATCTCCCTTCTCACCTCACCCCCACCCACCTCAATGTTCAGCACGAGCTGGTCATCCACATAAAAGAAGAGCCCCCTTTGCAGGTCGCAGTGGTGCAGCAGTAAGTAACTGATGGACTTTGATCTCCCTTCTCACCTCACCCCCACCCACCTCAATGTTCAGCACCCACCCTCACCCCCACCCACATCATAGGCGAATGTGATGTGCCCGTCCACTGCCATGCTGACGTCATAGGACAGCCACACCTGGTGGGGGCGAGGGAGGAGAAGGGGAAAGTAAGAAGGGAAAGAGAGAAGAAGAATCAAAGAGCAGAAAGCGGCCCTCTCTGCAAGGTTCCCCTTTCTGCAACGTCCACGTCGTATGCGAATGAGACGTGCCCGTCCACTGCCATGCTCATATCGTAGGACAACCACACCTGGTGGGGAGGTGAGGAGGGAAAGGAGAGGAGGGAGCAATGGGGAGGAAAGAAGGGGATTCACGAGCAGAGAGAGACCCTCCTCTGCAGGTCCCCGCCTTCTCCCCTTCTGGAATGTCCATTTCGTACGCAAATGTGACATGATCATCTCATCCACTGCCATGCTGACATCATAGGACGGCCACACCTGGTGGGGAGGGGATGAAAGACGGAAAGAGAGAAGGGAGGAGGGAGGTCAACGGAGGTCCAGTGCTGTGTGATGCGCTCAGCGGATTAGCCAAAATGGGTGAGGGGGGGGGGGGGAAGGAAGCAGGCAGCTTTATAGGAAATAGTTTTCAGTCGACTCAAAACAAGGTCCGTGCTGTGTGGTGCGGCAGCGGATCGGCCAAAATCGGTGAGGAAGGAAGCAGGCAATTAAAGGAAATAACTGAGGCACATCTTACTTTCTTCTCTCTACAGTCACGTCTTACGGAGGCACTCTTGCCGTGGTTGCTGCCAGAGTCCAGCTTCCCGTTCACCACTCTCCACCCCAGCGAACCACAGTCCCCGCTGCACCCGGTCACGAAACCGTCAGGAAGCTTCACCCGGTGCAGCTCAAAGTGATCCATGGTGAGGGCCTTCACCGCCACCTCTCCCGGAGGGCACTTGCGGCACGCCTTGTCTGTTTTAGACACAGAGGCGCTTCGTGCCAGGCCCTGCGAAGTGTTGTTGAGAGCGGGAGGGAGGGAGGTTGAGGGAGGATATGCAAGAAGGGCGCGCGGGAAGCATGCAGCTCAAAGTGGTCCATGGTGAGGGCCTTCACCGCCACCTCCCCTGGGGGGCACTTGCGGCACGGTTTGCTTGGCGAGGAAGAAGACGCATTGCGAGCCAGGCCCTGTCAAGGCAACATGCAGTGGGACGAGGGGGGACGGGAGTGAGGGAAGCAGGTTGGGAGCAGCTCAAAGTGGTCCATGGTGAGGGCCTTCACCGCCACCTCCCCTGGGGGGCACTTGCGGCACGGTTTGCTTGGCGAGGAAGAAGACGCATTGCGAGCCAGGCCCTGTCAAGGCAACATGCAGTGGGACGAGGGGGGACGGGAGTGAGGGAAGCAGGTTGGGAGCAGCTCAAAGTGGTCCATGGTGAGGGCCTTTACCGCCACCTCCCCCGGGGGGCACTTGCGGCATGGTTTGCTTGCTGAGGAGGTGGACACGTTGCGAGCGAGGCCCTGCGATTGGAAGGTGGGGTTGTGATCGAATTGTATGGGGTTGTGACGGGATGGGAAGGGCATATGGGAAGCATGCAGTTGAGTGAGGGCCTTCACTGCCACCTCCGCTGGAGAGCACGTGTGGCACGTTTTGTCTGTGGGAGGGGTACCACACACACGCAGACGCTCTAAGGCCAGGCTTACTGGTGGGAAGAAGTGTTTGAGATGTCTCAAGGACCTGCTTACCGGTGGGCAGAAGTGGCAGAGTCTGGTGCGCGTGGTGCTGTCCTCCACAGCGTACTGACCCGACGGGCAGGGGGCTGTGGTTGGTGGGGGAAGGAAAAGAAGAGAGCACACAAGACAAGTGCCAAAGTCTGGTGCATGGGTTGCTGTCACATGAGGCACAGTCTGGTGCGCGTGGTGCTGTCCTCCATAGCGTATTGACCTGAGGGGCAGGGGGCTGTGGGTGGTGGGGGAAGGGGAAGAGAAGAGAGCACACAAGGCAAGTGACAGTGTTTGGTGCATGGGGTGCACAAGCAAGTGGCAGAGTCTGGTGCGCGTGGTGCTGTCCTCCACAGCGTATTGACCCGAGGGGCAGGGGGCTGTGGTTGGGAAGGGTTGAGTGTGTAGGGGAGGAGTAGCGTGGGAGGAAGGGGGAAATGGTAGCGGAGGGGAGGGAGGCAAAGAACGGGCAGGGGGGTGTGGTCTTTGTATAAAGAGGGTTTTTTCTTTGCACAAGTAGAATCAGCACCAGCACCAGCACCAGCACCCGCACCAGCACCCGCACCAGCATCAGCATCAGAAATACAAGCTGTGACGTGACTCAAACAGACGGCATGCTTGCACCCACACAGAGATGACAATTTCCCCACCATCCATCCATCCATCCATCCATCCACACGATCGCACTCACGGCACGGCTCGTGGGCAAGCAGGGAGGTCGCTGCTCGCTGAGAGTGGCACGCCTGCACCCACACACTTATGGCAATTCCTCGTGTAGAGAGGGTATTTTTGAGACGTCTCAAAAATACCCTCGCTGAAAGTGGCACGCCTGCACCCACACACTTATGGCAATTCCTACTCCATCCATCTATCCACACGGCATCACCACCACCATCAAGGCACTCACGGCACGGCTCGTGCGCGTCAGCAGGAAGGTCCTCGTCCTCTGAGAGGGGCGCACAGATGTGGGGCGTGACTCAGGTAGCATGCTGCCATGCCAGCACCCGCTCACACAGACAGCTATTCTGCACTCACTCACACTCAGATGGCATGGCAACACACCCCATCATCACCACCATGGCACTCACGGCACGGCTCATGGGTGTCAGCAGGAAGGTTCTCGTCCTCTGAGAGGAGCGCACAGATGTGCGGAGTGACTCAGGTAGCATGCTGCCATGCCAGCACCCGCTCACACAGACAGCTATTCTGCACTCACTCACACTCAGATGGCATGGCAACACACCCCATCATCACCACCATGGCACTCACGGCACGGCTCATGGGTGTCAGCAGGAAGGTTCTCGTCCTCTGAGAGGAGCGCACAGATGTGCGGAGTGACTCAGGTAGCATGCTGCCATGCCAGCACCCGCTCACACAGACAGCTATTCTGCACTCACTCACACTCAGATGGCATGGCAACACACCCCATCATCACCATCATGGCACTCACGGCACGGCTCGTGCGTGTCAGCAGGAAGGTCCTCGTCCTCTGAGAGGGGCGTGCAGATGTGCGGAGTGACTCAGGTAGCATGCTGCCATGCCAGCACCCGCTCACACAGACAGCTATTCTGCACTCACTCACACTCAGATGGCATGGCAACACACCCCATCATCACCATCATGGCACTCACGGCACGGCTCGTGCGTGTCAGCAGGAAGGTCCTCGTCCTCTGAGAGGGGCGTGCAGATGTGCGGAGTGACTCAGGTAGCATGCTGCCATGCCAGCACCCGCTCACACAGACAGCTATTCTGCACTCACTCACTGTCAGATGGCATGGCAACACACCCCATCATCACCACCATGGCACTCACGGCACGGCTCATGGGTGTCAGCAGGAAGGTCCTCGTCCTCTGAGAGGGGCGCACAGATGTGGGGAGAGAGCCATGCCCAGGTCTGGAATTGGGGAAGGAGAGGAGGCGTGGGGGGGGAATGTGGGGGGAAGGGTTGGAGAGAGTGGGGGTTTGATGTGGGAAATGGGGTGAGGGAGTAAAGGGGAATGGTGTGAGGTGAATGATGAGAGGGGTCAGCCATGCATGCCCAGGGGTGGAAGAGACCAGTTGGTGTGGATGTCCAAGCACGTCAGAGAAGGTATGCAATACAAGGGTGAGGAAGACCAAGGAAAGAGTGAGTTGGGTTGGTGCGATTGTGTGACGGCTGGCACATGAGAGGCCTTCAATCAACATTGGGTTTCAAGCCGACTCAAAGCTTAGCAGCAACCTGGATGTGTGTACTGAGTGCCTGCACGGCTCAATTCTTAATGAAAACAATTACACCGGACCAGAACACAATCGAATGCATTGAACCCTACTGTTTTGTTTTCCTTGTGGGTTCCATCTGACTGACCTTGATTCTCTGGTTGTCCACTGCGCTACAGTTGCCGTAGGTAGGGGCGGCATCGGTTGTCACGTTGCAAGCTGGAGAATTGTCGAGGAGGCAGGGAAAAGGAGGTGGAGAGACAGGCAGCAGCAGGCTTAGTGGCAGAGGGGAAAGGGAGGGAGGGATGGGGAGAGAGCAGAGGGAGGGAGATAGAGGAGAGGAGCTAGAGCCAGAAATACAAGAGAGAGAGAGAGAGAGAGAGAGAGAGAGAGAGAGAGAGAGAGAGAGAGAGAGAGAGAGAGAGAGAGAGAGAGATTGCAAGGGAACCACGAGTCAAATTGCATGTCTGTACCCCCTGCTGAATTAATACAAAGGACCGAGAGAGAGAGCCGCGACCCACACCACAAATTCAAACCGCTTCCGGCCGCCCTGCCACCACTGCCAACCATCCCGCCCAACCAAACCTGACATCGCCACCTGCAAATGTACCGCGAACAGCAGCGAGGGGTAACCAACAGCAACTACAACCCCCTCCCCAAAAGTCGCCCGAAGCCCTCGCCAGGGACGACACACTATTCGCGAATGTCAGGACCTGGAATCTGGATAAGCTGCGCGATAGCCGCAACGCTCCGCTGGCACGTCGCCTGCCGGAAAAACTGCGCCTACTTTTCGCTATGGTAATGCTGACACCACTGCTACGACTAGCACACGACCCAGACTCCATCCCTGCCTGGACGATTCTGCTGTTTGCGGCTCGCCTGACGCTGCGTCAGCATTCGCCGAGGCACCCTGACTGGAAGGCGACCAGGGAAAGATTGCGTAAATTCCTGCGAGGGGAATGGGAGGCACTGTACCAGGAGACGGTTGATTCGTTGGATTCCCCTCCCCCTCCCAGACACCAGCCAGACGACCTGGGGATAATATCCAGGGCAGAGGGTTTGGCGCGACGTGGCAGCTTACGGAGAGCAGTCATGGCACTGGAAGCCACCCCAGTCAGCAAGCCCTCACCTGCGGTTTTAGAATCCCTCCGCGCCAAGCACCCTAGTGCCCCGCACTCCGACGCATCCTGGCCCCAGCCCGACCCAGACACTTACCTGGCAGTATCACGGGAAATTTTCCTGAAGCTCCTCTCGAAATGTGAAAATGGGGTAGGTGCAGGTCCCTCAGGGACAACATTCGAGCACCTGCGCGAAGCTGCCCTGATACACCCCACGGTCGGTTCTCACCTACATGCATTGGTTAACACAATCCTGAGAGGGAAGCTGCACCAAGAAGTAGGGAAGCTTCTTACAGCCTCGCGCTTGATAGCCCTCGACAAGCCGGATGGAGGAACGAGACCGATTGCCATAGGGGAGTGCATCCTGCGTTTAGCAGCCAAGGCAGCACTTACTCAGGTAGCGGACGCAGCACGAGAGTATTTCTTACCTTTACAGTTCGGAGTAGCCGTGCCAGGAGGAGCAGAAGCAGTCATACATGTTGTCCGGACCTACACAGCGGCCAACCAGGACGCCCTGGTGTTACAGGCCGACCTGGCCAATGCGTTCAATAGTGTCAGCCGCCACGCCATAGCGACGGCCTTGAAAGGATCGCAGCTAGAACCGCTGCTGCCGTTGGTGCATTTCTCGTACGGCCAACCCTCCACGCTGCATCTGGATGCAGCCTTCGCCCACCCACCCCTGCTCAGTGAAACAGGGGTCCGCCAGGGAGATCCCCTCGGCCCCCTTCTTTTTGCCGCGGCCATGCAACCAGCTTTGAGAGCAGCAGCGGAGGCTCACCCCGAGGTCATCTGCCTGGCCTACGCGGACGACGTGACCTTCCTGGGAGAACCGTCGTCATGTGCAGCTGCTTTTACACACTTCACGGGCCGCCTGGCAGAAATCGGGCTCAGCCACAATCCTGCCAAGTGCGGGGCTTGGGCAGGCAGGACGCCCACGGACTACCGCCTGCCAGAGGGGGTCCCTCCCAGCAGTGACGGATTGAAGGTGCTGGGCAGCTACATTGGCACCTCCACGGCAACCACTGGCTTCATACGGTCCAGCCTGGAGGCGATGGGCGCACCGCTAGGATTGATTGAGCGGATGGAGCCACAGCTGGCGGGACTGCTGCTTTCCCGGTGTATCTCCCGCCGAGTGTCATACCTAGCCCGCACAACCCCACTGCCTTTCCTGCCAAAGGAGGAGTGGTCTGAGTGGGGACGGAGGCTGCTGGAAACACTACTAACAGCATGCGCCATCAATCACCCTCGTGGGGACGAGGAGATTTCACGCACGTGGGCGCAAGCCTCACTCCCCGTGTCGCTCGGTGGCCTTGGGTTGACGGACCCATCAGTAGAGGGAAGCTACAGCTTCCTCGCCAGCTACACGCAGGCGCAGCTGCTGCTTGACTCCCTGGACAGCGAGTGCACCGGCCCACTGGAAGTCACGCGTGAGCTGATGCGTGGCCCCTACACCGAGTCCTCCCCCTTGTCCGAATGGCTTGCGGAATGTGAAGGGGAACTGCCGCTTCCAGCCCAAGAAGCTCTTCAGGCTGAGAGATCGGCTCCAACTGCAGGGAAACTACAGCACGGGCTGGCCACGGCCATCCAGGGCCAGCGCTATGCCGTGCAGGTGGAGGAGGTGCGGGGGATGAGCCCGAACCCCAACAACGGTCACACGCAGCGGATGCTGTCCCTATCAGGGTATGGGGCGGGGGATTGGTTAAACGCAGTGCCCATCCACTCCTCGCTCCGCCTTGAGGCTCCCCACTATGCCAACGCGCTCCAGTTTCGGCTAGGGCTCCCCTTTGCGGCTCCAGGGGTTTGCAACTGCTCCAAGAAGGTGGAGATCCCGGATAAGCGGCTCCCGAATCACCTGCTTCGGTGCGGAACAGGGGGGGGGCGCACAAACACACACAATGAACTCAGAGATGAGTGCGCGCGGATGGCGCAAGATGCAGGCTTCATGGTGCACATCGAGACGGCCGCCTTCAGCCCAGTGGAGGAGAAGAAGGCAGACCTGGCCTTACGCTGCCGCTCTACTGGCGCCGTCTACATCTGCGATGTGACGATAACGGACCCCATCAGCACCCGCGATGAGAACGCCACCAAGGGGAGGGGGTGGGCGGCACGGGAGGCAGCAGATAAGAAACACGGCCTTTACAAGGACCGCCCAGAGTGGGTGAAGTTCTTCCCACTAGCGGTCGAGACATACGGGTGTCCCTGCCCAGAGTCAGTAGACTTCCTGAAACTACTCGCAGAAACGGCTGCACGGCGGTTTTTCAACGCCGAGCCCACCTCCTACCAAGCTGCCAAGCTCTTACACCAATACCGGCAGCGGTGGTCAGTGGCTCTTCAACGTGGGCAGTCGATTGGGTACCTGGAAAAGTGCAACATAGCAGCAGCAGTTGAAAACCCGCTACTAGAAGCAGTGGGTGAGGCCCCGTCCCTTGGGGACTGCCTCGCGGTTCTTGATCCATCACTGGATCTCACTTAGAGGGTGCAGAGCAGGATGAGAGAATAGGAAGTATAGGCAGTACTAGCCCCACCTTTGCGTTGACTTATACCTTGCATGTCTGTACGCTTTGACTATCAATGAAAGGGCCATTAGAGAGAGAGAGAGCTAAAGTCGCTTGGACCATGGCACTGCCCAGCCCGCACACGTACGAGAGAGATGGACCATGGCACTGCCCAGCCCGCACACGTACGAGGCCTGGCAGAGCAGCTGGCTCGAGGAGGAGGTGACTGCTCAGTTTGACTTCATTTCCAGCAGATTCCCTTAAAAAGGTGTAACTCCAAATGTGACTCAAAGGGAGTGACTCCAATAAAGCGCATGTAACTAAAGGGCAGCGCACGTACGAGGCCTGGCAGAGCAGTTGGCTCGAGGAGGCGACTGCGCGTACTCTTCAGCACTGCATGGCTTGCACTCTGGCCAGCCCTCCCTGCGATGGTATATAGTACACGTGGATGGTGCAAGTGCAATGAGCGTATAATCACCAGCAGGGAGTGTGGGGCTGGCATAATAATCACCCAAAATGCTGGCCAGCCGGCATGAGTAATCAGCTGATCAGCATTGCAGTGGTTGCACTCTACAAGCCACCACCAGCAGCACCAGCAAGAACACCGAGAACAGCAGCAGCAGCAGCACTACCACAGCCAGCACCAGGGCTCATTAGAAATACAGCCTTTGGACTCACCGCGAGTAGTGGTCCACAGGGCATGGCGCACACTCAGTAGAGCCCTCCTCACTGCACCAAGGAAGAGCAGTGGTATGCAAACAAAACAGCGGATGGCATGGCTGGGAATCTTCGGAAAAATTGTCAATCTAGTAAAACGCATTTCAATAGAGTGCAGATCCTGTAGAAGCCTTAAATTGAAATGTTACGTAGAATGCTGTGTCGGCTCGGATCCAAAGTAAAGCCTACCACGCCGGGGTGAACCTAACCAGTTACCAGCACACTGATGCTCAGAAGCATCAGAAGCACATCACGGGAAGCCTGTAGAAGCCAGCCTGCTGCCGGGCACGGGAAGCACTGCCTGCCAGTCCGTGCAGTCAATGCCGCCCCACCTCTACCAACTTCGATACCAGCAACCACTAGTGCACTCCCTGGTCCCAACCCACTGCGCCCTGCCCACCATTACCCACTGCTCCGCGTTCACCTGTACAAGCCTGCCTGGCATGGGAAGCATTGCCGATCCGTGTAGTCAGTGCCACCACTGTCCACCACTTTGCACCACTGCCACACCGCTGCCCATTGCCTCACCTGTAGAAGCCTGCCTGGCACAGGAAGCATTGCCGGTCCGTGTAGTCAATGCCGCCCACCTCTACCAGCTGGCATGGCAGGTGGCCTTCTGAATGAACCACACAGCATCCCTTGCCACCATTGTTGCACACTGCGCACCACTGCCCACTACTGCCCACCACTGCCCACCACTGCTCACCACTGCCTGCTGCTCCGCACTCACCTGGAGAAGCCTGCTAGGCACGGAAAGCACTGCCGGTCCGAGTAATCAATTCCAACCCACCTGTAATCGATTCCAACCCACCTGTAATCAATTCCAACCCACCTGTAATCGATTCCAACCCACCTGTAATCAATTCCAACCCACCTGTAATCGATTTCAACCCACCTGTAATCGATTCCAACCCACCTGTAATCGATTCCAACCCACCTGTAATCGATTCCACCCACCTGTAATCGATTCCAACCCACCTCGCCCAGCTGCCAGCCATGTCAGGTGGGCATCTCAATGACCCAGCAGCATCCCTTGCCACCACTGCCCACCACTACCCACCGCTGCCCATTGCCTCACCTGTAGAAGCCTGCCTGGCACGGGAAGCACTGCCGGTCCGTGTAATCAATGCCTCCCACCTCTATCAGCTGCACATACGAACGCACACACACAAGGCAGACAGCCAGGCACAGACGAACGGCAGGCAGGCAGGCGGGAGGGAGGAGAACGACACAAGGATGAAAGCTATGACTGTTGGCATGAGCAAATGGACGAGTACAATCCCTAACTCCCCTGGTTTGCCTAAGGTTCTGTTATTATTTATATAGATATACGTGTATATTTTTTTTCCAATGCTCTCACGCCTAAGCTCCACAGCATAGCACACTCACATGCTCACCAAGCGGAGTCCCTGCCCTTGGAATCCTGCCCTGAGTGAGACGTCTCAAAAACAATATTTTATAGCATGTGGTGTGGTGTGGTGTGGTATGGTGTGGTGCGGTGCGGTGTGGTGCTTTGTGGTGTGGTGTGGTGCGGCGATGCGGCGTGGTGTGGTGTGGTGCGGCGTGGTGCGGCGTGGTGTGGTGTGGTGTAGAGGATGACTGGTTACTGTACATGGGCGTGCCTCAGTGAATTGGTGCCGCTACTTTCCTCTCAGCACCACAACACACTCACGTGCAGGGCAACGGAGTCCCTCCCCTTGGTGAACTTGGAGTCCTTGTAGTAAACCCACTCCAGTGTGTGGATGCACCCAATCCAACCCCTCATGCTATCAACATCTACCTCTAGCACCCACCAGCATCCCTTCATGCACTCACATGCAGGGCAGCAGAGTCCCTCCCCTTGGTGAATTTGGAGTCCTTGTAGTAAACCCACTCCAGCGTGTGAATGCCTGGCTCCAGCATTATCTGCACCGGGTCGAACTGGTAGGTAGGATGCGAGAGGATGAAGTGGGGTGAGCTGAGCAGGCAGGGTGTGGGAAGAGCTACATTGTGTCCCGGGCTCTGCTGGCTCGTGCAACACCCACTCTAGCGTGTGAATGCCTGGCTCCAGCATTATCTGCACCTCCATCGGGTCAAACTGGCAGGGGGAGAGTGGGAGAGAGGAGGGAGGGAATGGGCGGTGGGGGTAGATGTAGATGGGTTGAGCATGCCTGCTTGTAGTAAACCCACTCCAGCGTGTGAATGCCCGGCTTCAGCATTATCTGCACCTCCATGGGCTCGAACTGGTGGGGAAGGTCGGGTTGAGCAGGCAGGCAGGGAGGGGAAGCACGCACGCATGGCTTGAGCCTACTTGTAGCAAACCCAACCCACTCCAGCGTGTGAATGCCCGGCTCCAGCATTATTTGCACCTCCATTGGCTCGAACTGGCAAGGGGGGAATGGGGTGAGTGGGGGCGATGGGGGAGGGTAAGGGAGCATGTGTTGCACAGGGCAGTGGAGTGGACAATGCTGGCAGCTGGAATATGGTACCTTGAAACAGAATGTGACAGTAGAGAACCGGACAAGACCGAATCGGACAAAAGACACAACAGAACAGAACGGAACGGAACCGGACAGAACGAAACTTGATAGAGCAAACCGACCGGAACTGAACCGAACCGAACCGAACCGAACCGAACCGAACCGAACCGAACCGAACCGAACCGCACCGAACCGACCGATCCGAACTGAACGGAATCGAAACGAACCAAACAGAACCGAGCCTGGTTGGACCCGAGGCCCATCATGGGCTCTGGTGATGAGTCGAGGAAGAGAAGCAGCCCGTCAAGTCAAACTAAGAAGTCACTCAGTTGAGACTCGGTTCGAGAACTGAGGTTTCTTATGTGTCGACTCAAAAAACTACAGGCTCACTCACAATGAGAGCGGCGAACCAGGACAGGAGGGCTCACTGCAAAAACTTCCGATCCAGATGTACTTGAAGGAAAAGGTTGGATTCGAGCCCCATCGTGGGCTCTGGCGAGGAGTCAAGGAAGAACAGCAGCCCGTCAAACTGAGAAGTCAACCAGTTGAGACTCGAGGAGTGAGGTGCCTCTTGAGTAGCCCATCAAAGTGAGGTAGCTTTGAGTCAACTCTCAAGTCACAGGGACTCACCTGGTTGGATTCAAGCCCCATCAAAGGCTCTGGCGAGGAGTCGAGGAAGAAGAGCAGCCCGTCGAACTTGTGCTCCGTGCTCACTGTGAACTTGTACCGGATGTAGCTGCGTGAGTAGAGGAGGGAAGGGGGGGGTGGATGGGGGATGGGGGATGGGGGATGAGGCAGAGGGGTGGGGAAGATAGGGCGAGAGGGGAGGAAGAAGAGCAGCCCGCCAAACTTGTGCTCCGTGCTCACTGTGAACTTGTACCGGATGTAGCTGCGTGAGTAGAGGAGGGAGGGGGGTGGTGGATGGGGGATGGGGGATGAGGCAGAGGGGTGGGGAAGATAGGGCGAGAGGGGAGGAAGAAGAGCAGCTCGCCAAACTTGTGCTCTGCACTCACTGTGAAGCGATACCGGATGTAGCTGCGGGTGGGAGAGGAGGGGGGAAGGAAGGAGGAGGGTGGAAGAGGAGTGGAGAGGCGTGAAGAGGAGTCAAGAGGACCACAGGAGGGGGAGCAGCCCATCAAACTTGTGCTCTGCACTCACTGTTAAGCGATACCGGATGCAGCTGGGAGGAGGGAGGGGGGTGGTGGATGGGGGATGGGGGGTTGGGGTTGGAGGATGCAGGATGGGGGATTGGGGATTGGGGAGGGGAGTAGTGGAATGGGGGAGGGGAGGATAAGAGAGGGGTCAAGGAAGAAGAGCAGCCCGTCGAACTTTGAGGAGCCTCAAAAATCTTGCTCCGCGCTCACTGTGAAGCGGTACCGGATGTAGCTGCGGCAGGGGTGGGTGGGGGGGAAAATGGGGAGAGAGAGGGGGGAGGAGGAAGGAAGGCATTCTAAGTCAATTCAGTCAAGCCTTGTGCTCCGCATTCTTTGTGAAGTGATACCAGATGTAGCTGCGGGTGTGGGGGAGAGGAGGGGAGGGGGGCGGCCAATGGCCCAGGCACGAAACGAAGGATGTTTGTAAATGTAGAGGAGAGGAACAGCCTGTGAATGTAGTGCTCCGCACTTGACTCGTTGCAAACACGAGCACCAAGCTGGGCGCACGTATCTGTGGTGGATGGAGGGATGAAATGGTGCGATGAAATGGTACAATGAAATGGTGCGATGAAATGGTGCGATGAAATGGTACGATGAAATGGTACGATGAAACGGTACGATGAGATTGGAGTAGAGGGAGGGAGTATGGTGACCTCTCGAGTGAGTGAAGCGTGTTCTCTGCTGTCAGGTCACTGTGATGCGAAGCATAAGGGCAAGGCAAATAGCAGTGGGGTGGATAATGGACTGGATTATTATGGAGTGGATGTAGAACAGTGAGGACGTTCGGAAACAGGGTCCGAGATGTTGATTATTCATTCCGTCGGTCTTGTGCCCGATGAAGGCTGCTTCGGGGAAGGAAACACACGGGTGGTGTATCTTTTGAGAATTCTCTTTTGAGAATCGCTTTTGAGAATTCTCAAAAGCGTCCTCCGGTCTTGTGCCCGATGAAGGCTGCTTCGGGGAAGGAAACACACGGGTGGTGTCTCAATCAAACTTGCATGGCCCTCACTCTCTCACCTCACTCGCTCACCCTGATCGGATTTGCTCCAATTCCATGCCACTCACCCGGAGTGGTTAATATGGGGGCACACACGGGTAAGGTGATGTGTCAACCTGAGCACAGCGCTCACTCGCTCACCGTGATTGGATACTCTGGTCTGGTGGCACAGACGGGTGAGATGTTGTGTCACTCACTCACTCACCCGGATGTGATGAGCTCCACTTGCATGCGCAGCGACGCACGCAGGTTGTTGTGGCAGTTGTACGACCCCAGGGAGCAGTCGTCCTGCACAGCACAGATGGAGAGAAGGAGGTGACACGAAGAAGGTGACAGGTAAGAGAGGGATGTGAGAGACGGTAGGGAGCGCGTTGTTGTGGCAGTTGTCCGAGCCGAGGGAGCAGTCATCCTGCACAGCACAGATGGAGAGAAGCAGGTGGCACGAGGGATATGGGGATGAGGTAACAGAGGGATGCAAGGGCCCGTGATAAGCAGGTTGTTGTGGCAGTTGTCCGAGCCGAGGGAGCAGTCGTCCTGCACAGCACAGATGGAGAGAAGCAGGTGATGTGGGTGGATGGAAGGGCCAGAGGGGTATAAGAGAGGCTGCAGTGGCAGGTTGCAGTGGCAGGTTGCAGTGGCAGGTTGCAGTGGCAAGTTGCAGTGGCAGGTTGCAGTGGCAAGTTGCAGTGGCAAGTTGCAGTGGCAAGTTTCAGTGGCAAGTTGCAGTGGCAGGTTGCAGTGGCAAGTTGCAGTGGCAGGTTGCAGTGGCAAGTTGCAGTGGCAGGTTGCAGTGGCAAGTTGCAGTGGCAAGTTGCAGTGGCAGGTTGCAGTGGCAAGTTGCAGTGGCAGGTTGCAGTGGCAAGTTGCAGTGGCAAGTTGTGGTGTTGTGGCAGGCAATCGTGGGTTTCCAAGAAGCAGGTCGTGCTGTCGCCAAGCTAGATTAAAGCGATATGAGGGCTTAGAGACAAGGGCATGAGAAATGTGACCTTTGATTGAGGTGCCTCAAGACTCATCCACTTGGCGTGACGTGACAGTTGTAGCCCTCAAGGGAGCAAAATGAGTTGAGTTTTGAGGCGCCTCAAAATGAGGTGCCTCGAGTCTCATCCATTTGGCGGCGTGACAGGACAGTTGTAGCACACAAGGGAGGTTATTGAGGCGCATCAAGACAAGACGTATCCACTTAGCGTGACAGTTGTAGCACTCAACTCAAGGGAGCAGCCGCGTGAGTGAGCCAACATTTTGCACGAGACTACCTACAGGGAACGTTCGAGTTCCGAGAATTCTAAAAAAGTCAAAAGTCGCAATTCACGGATGAGCTTGTGCCAAGTAAGCACTTGAGCCTTACAGGATACCATTCATTGGGTGGGTCGTACGGGCCGGCTTTGAGCTGGCCGTCTGCTGCATACCACCTGTTGGGTTGGGGGGGCGGTGAGACGCACCAAGGAAAGGGAGTCTGGTGGATAATCGCCATGTGGGATGACTGCTGTCTTATAGGCGCCTCAAGAACCGGGTTGTCGTACGGGCCGGCTTTGAGCTGGCCGCCTGCTGCATACCACCTGTTGGGTTGGGGGGGCGGTGAGACGCACCAAGGAAAGGGAGTGTCACTGAATATCATGGTAAGAGCATTATATTCTGTAACAGTGCTAACTGGGGTGTAGAAGCAGTGTAGTAATTGTCATTCAGTTTGTACACTAGGTAGTTGGGACATTGGGAGAAGCGCGAAGTTGGTAGTATGGGGGATTGCAAGGCGCTGCGGGCACAATTCCAGGGCCCTCGAGAGACAGGAAATCTGGCACGAGGTCAATACAAGGCCAAGGCGGCTCGAGCCCAACCCATCACGCTGAGAATCTCGCGACTGGGAGGCCTAGCATAAGTAAGCCTAGCCTAGCATAGTACTCTTGTTCTCTCGTTTGTTTACCAGTGCATAGTGGACTTATGTTACCGTTCTAAGCTACAGCAGCCAGGTGACAGACGCCACTCTTGGTAGCCAGCTGTGGGAGCCGAATCTCTCACAAACGAGAGAAGTGCAGGCGACATGGATCGCCATGAGCTGCGCGAGCAGCGGACGTACTCACCGCGGGAGCGTTCACCGTCGCGGAGGAGGCGCGCATCGGAGCGCGGGAGGTCGCCAACGCGCTCGCCCCGCAGAGCGGCGTACCGCGCGGACTTGGTGACACCTACGGGCAGGCACCGTGATGATGACGGATCGGATCCGCGCGTCAGATCTGAGCCGTGGAGAAGGCCAGCGAGGAGCGATCCGTGGAATCTGCCGGAGGGACAGCACGGAGGACGCGCGCGCCAATACGATGGCGACGTCGACATGCAGTCGCTGGATTCGGCGAGTGAAGCAGAGAAGAAAAGGGGAGGCAGCGGGGAGCTGTGCAGTCAGCTCGGGGAGAATCAGGAAGCTGGGACACAGGCAGATGGGCCGCGACGGCGCAGCCAAGAGTGGAGGTACCGGTGCGCTTCATGGGGAATGAAGGGACTGGCCTGAGCCTGAAGAACTACTTGATGCAGATCAGCAATGTTAAGTACAGGTGTGACCGGAGCGGTATGGACCCTATCGAGTTCTTCTTAAGCCTGCCAAACACACTGGGAGGGGAGGCGGAGACACTGTACCGCATGAAAATCGGAGAATGGTTGAGGAGGGCACAGGAGGATGGCGAGGACCCAACAGTACTGTTCCTGGATCGGCTGAGGAAGCAGTTTCCAGGGCACACGGCCCAGCGCATTAGGGAGTTTCAGGAGTTCAGGCGTCGAGATGAGGAATCACTTCTAACGTACTACGGGCGGTTGATGAACCTAGCAGAGGACGTGGTGTGCACTGACAGCAGTATGATCATTAGCAAATTCTTGAACGGCTTAGACAAGGGGCTGGCAGGAGGCTTGAGGATGCTAGTATACGAGCTGGGGGCTGAGGCGACACCTGAAGAGGTGTTTGAGCTAGCAGAGAGAGTGGAGTTGGCGCAGCGGAAGTACGAGGTGTACCTACCGAGGCCGACTGAGAAGAGGAACCCCGCTTGGGCAGCAGCAGCAGTGCCGGAGATGGGGGGAAGGGAGGATGGCCGAGCGGAGAGAGGAGCTGAGACGCGCACCTGCCACCGATGCAAGCAGCCGGGGCATCTGATGAGGAATTGTAGGAACTGTGACACCTGCGGGAAGCCGGGACACCGCCGCAAGGACTGCCCGGATGCACCAACATGCGAAGTCTGTGGGAAGCGGGGGCACAAAGGAAAGGACTGTTACCAACGCACAGGGGGGCCGAGGAGGACTCCAGAAGACATAGAGGGTCAGATAGGCAGGCTACAGGCGCAGCTACAGGCAATGGGTGGGAAAAAGGAGAAGGAGGCAGGGTTATATGCCAGGGAAGACGATGACGAAGCAGAAGCAATAGAGGAACCAGAGCCGGAATACAATTTCATGGTGCTCCGCAGCAGAGAGGAGCTGGGCCTGCGAAGCGGGGGCAGGGATGGGAGAAAGGACCACATGACCAAGGAAAGGGGCAGACCGAAACAAAGGCCAGGGGAGAAGGGTGAGGAAGGAGAAGAGCCAGCAAGGCATCCCAAGGATCGGATAGCTAGCCAGGCAACCGTGCTAGTGGCAGAGGCAGGATCGGTGGCAGTAGGTGGAGAGATAGCAAAGACAGCAATCTTGGACACGGGAGCGCAGAGCGTGATGCTGGGAAAAAGGCTAGCACGGAAGCTGGGGCTGACTGAAGCAGGGCAATACATAAAGCGAGGAATGCAGGTAATGACCGCGGAAGGAGGCGAGCCCAAGTGGCTGCCATGTACAAGGGACCTAGTGGAAATAGTCCTAATGCCGGGGAGAGAGGAGCAGACTAGTATACGGCTACAATGCGGGATATCAGACTCGGAAGATTTCGACGTGCTGCTGGGGACAGACCTGATTTGGGGCGTGGGGATGACCATCTGCACCTGGAAGGAGAAAGTGAAGTTTCGGAAGCAGTATTGGGTGCGGGGGAGCAAGACGGGTGAGCTGCCTGTGCAATTCACTAAACAGGAGCCAAAAAGAGCGTACACGGCTGAGCAAGCGGGAAGCGAGGGAAGAGGGAGAGCGGGCCTAGTGGGTGAAGCAGCGATAGCTAATGCATGGCAGGAACCAATCAGGCTGGTGGAGCTATTCGGGGGAATAGGAGCGGGGCTGGCAGCGGTGCTCAGAGTGGGAGTAGCGGTGAAGGAGTGGATATATGTGGAAAAGGACGGACAAGTGAGAAAGATGGCTGAACGACATGCAAAGAGACTGCAGAAGGAGCATCCTGAACTACTGGAGGAAGCAGTGATAAGCAAAGCAATGGCAGGGACGTTGACCGATGTGAGGGACGTGACACGAGAAGTGGTGAGGGGCTGGGGGCACGTGGATCTGCTGGTAGCAGGGTGGGAGTGCCAAGCCGTCTCAAGAGAGGGGAAGGGAAAGGGGTTGGACGATCCAAGGGGAGCACTGCTAATTAATCTGCTGTGCATCATTGACTGGATCAGAGAAAGACAGGAGAAGGTGGTGTACCTACTGGAGCACCTGGACATGGAGGGGGATTGTCGGGAACCAGTCAGAAAGATCCGAGAGTTAGTAACACGGAAGCTGGGGAAGGGGGTAAGGTGTGACGCGGCCAGGCTGGGGGCACGGGCTCACCGTGTCAGAAGGTATTGGCAAAATGTCGTGACGGACGAGCAACTGCAGAAGGAGCTGGATGGGATACGAAGGGACTGGAGCAGGACGGTGCAAGAGATATTAGAGCCAGGCAGGACAGCGGCGCCGGTGAAGAAGGGCAGGCACGAGACACAGTGCCCATGCAACAAGGTGGGGGCAGTACGCAGGGCCTGGCCGACATTGGTGGGGTACAAGGGGGCAGCAGGGTTTAGGGAGGAAGGAGGAATGCCAGGGGAAGGCATGGTGTACGATCATAGGACGAAGAAGTGGGAGGAACCAACGGCACTGGAGCGGGAGCTGGCGATGGGGTATGGGGAAGACATAACCAAGGCAGCAGGGGTGACGGAACAGGAAAGGAGGAAAGCGTTAGGACAGGCTATGGACGGTCAGGTCATGCAGTGGCTGATGAGGCGAATGTGGAGAGGGCTGGTGCTGGAAGGGGAGCAGAAACCGCGAAGGAAGGAGGAAGGGGTGAAAAAGGTGGGGGCATGGGCGTGTGTGGCAGTTCAGGAAGAGCCAGCGTGGGTTGTGGGAAATGCAATGAGCGAACAAGGGAAGAAGGCAATGCAGGAGGTGCTGGCCAGGTATAGGCATGCCTTTGCGTTTACCTTACAGGAGTTAGGAAAGTGCTCAGTGAAGGAGATGGAGTTGAAGCTGGTCACGGACGAGCCGGTGTTTCAAAGGAAGCGGAGAATGACACCCGGGGATGAGGACATCTGCAAGGAAAAATGCAAGGAGTTGCTAGAAGCAGGACTGATACAGAGATCAGAATCGGAGTACGCAACACCGACAGTGGTAGCCGCACGAAAGGACCTGCTGGGAGAGGTGCTGAGCCGGCGTATGTGTGGGGATTACCGAGCACTGAACAAGGTGACAGTGCCCGATAGGTACCCAATGCCGACAGCGGAGGACATTTTCGACCGACTGGGAGCAGAGGAGATCTTTAGCACGCTAGATTTGAGACAGGGCTTTAACCAGATCAAGATCAGGAAGGAGGACGTGCGGAAAACAGCATTCCATGGTGCAGACGGGCTGTACGAATGGCTGTTTATGCCATTCGGGCTGAGGAACGCGTCAGCCATCTTCCAAAGGGTAATGGACAGTGTACTGAGGGGGCTGGAGTGTGCAGCATGTTACATAGATGACGTAGTGATATTCAGCAACAGTGAGGAGGAGCACATGCGAGACGTGGAGCGGACGCTGAAGGCGCTGGCGGCAGCAGGGCTGACCTGCCACCCAAAGAAATGCAGGTGGGGGGAAGCGACCGTGCAGTACCTGGGATATGAGGTCAGGGGCGGACAGATAGGGATTCAGCAGGCGAAGGTCGAGGTGTTGAACAGGCTGCAGCAGCCGAAGGACAGAAGTGGACTGAGAGCGGTGCTGGGTTTTCTGAGTTACTACCGAAGGTTCGTCCCTAATTTTAGCAAGCGTGCATCACCGCTGAATGGGCTGCTGAGAGAGGACAAAAGGTGGGAATGGGGGACAGAGCAGGAAGCAGCTTTGAGAGACCTGATGGAGGCGGTGCAGACAGCAACGATTCTGCAGCTGCCCAAGGCCGACAAGCCCTTCTGCTTGTACACTGACTGGAGCAGCCAGGGTATGGGGGCAATCCTGTGCCAAGAACTGGACGGAGAGGAGAGGGTAGTAGCGTACGCGAGCAGAAGCTGTAACCCAGCAGAGGCCAAGTACAGCTCTTATCACGGTGAGGGGCTGGCTGCAGTGTGGGCTGTGAAGCACTTCAGAGTGTACCTGCAGGGGAGGGAATTCACACTGATCACAGATCATCAGCCGCTGCAGTGGCTGATGACTCACCAGGGGCTGACGGGGAGAAACGCGCGCTGAGCCATGACTCTGCAGGAATACGATTTCAAGATACGCCACAGGCCGGGGAAGACACTGCAGCATGTGGACGGGCTCTCGAGGAACCCGCCAGCAGCAGAGCCAGTGCACGCGCTGATGCTGCTCGCTAGGCAAGGGGAGGAGGCAGCAGCAGAAAAACAAGGAAAGAGGGGTCCACAGGATATATGGAAGGATCCCACGGCCCTGCGGTGGATTAAAGGGGAAACAGAGGAGAACGAACAGGTGACAGACAGGGTGAGAGCACGAGGGCACCACTACCGATGGTACCAGGGACAGTTGCAGCTGCAGTCAGTGGATGGGTGGAAGCTGGTGCCTGCGCCGCAAGAGAGGGAAGGGGTAATAGAGGAGGTGCATAGGAAGCTGGGCCACTTCGGGCATGAGCGCACAACTCAGCTGCTCAAGACCGGCTGGTGGTGGGAAGGGATGAGGAAGCAAGTCAGAGAGTGGGTCAGTGGTTGTGAAGGCTGCCAGAGAAGCAAGGCCAGCTTGACCCAGGCGAAGCAGGAGCTGCAATCACTGCCGATCAGAGGGTTGGGGTTTCGGTGGTCTCTGGACATAGCCGGCGAGCTGCCGCTGAGCAGGGGAGGACAGCGGTACATCCTACTCATGGTGGAGCATGCAAGCAAGTGGTTAGAAGTGTGTGCGTTGCCGAGCAAGGACTCCAGGCATGTGGCGAAGGCATTCAAGGGACAGGTGCTGTGCAGATTCGGGGCACCAGGGGAGGTACTCACCGATCAGGGCACGGAATTCAAGGGGGAGTTCCAGGCGCTGCTGGACGAGGCAAGGGTGACACACAGGCAGACATCAAGGTACCATCCTCAGAGTGATGGGCTGACCGAGCGGCTGGTGCAGACCTTGAAGCGGAACCTGAGGGCGTACGGAGAGAAGCGGAAGAGGGACTGGGATGAAGAACTAGACTGGGTGGCGGCAGGGTACAGGTTCGGGAAGCAGGCGTCACTAAAGGACTACTCCCCGTACAGCCTGCTGTATGGAAAGGAACCAATACTGCCTGTGGGAGCACCAAGGGTACTGACGGGGGTGGTGAGCGTGAAGGGAGCGGAACAGTGGGTGGCGCTGGCAGAAGCACGAGCAAGATACATGCGGGAAATGCTCCCGGCTGCCTTGGAGAACTTGCACACGGCGCAGCTGAGAGATGCCCACAGATACGAGCAGCGACAGCAGCAAGGAGGCAGGAAAGCGAAGCCAGCAGTGACAGAGGGACAGGAAGTCTACCTGCGCAGAGCGAAGAAAGACACGCTGGACGTGGGGTTGGGAACAGAGAGGTGGAAGGTTAAAGAGGTGAGAGGGTCAGGGGTGCTGGTGCTGGAAAATGAGAGAGGAGAGCGGACAGTGGATCACCAGACGAACACAGCGGCAGTGAAGGAGAGACGGCCTCAGCAAGAGGGTCCTGTGACACGTGCACGGGCAGTCCGAGCACGAGCACAGGAGGGGGCAGGGAGTGGCTGAGGAAGGGATGACTGTGCAAGGAGAGAAGGAGGAAAAGGGGACTGAGCGCAATGAGGCAGGAACAAGGGGAGCGAGCAGAGTAATGCAGGAACAGGGCGAGGGTGAAAGGCAGTAAGGGAAGGGACTCCGACAGCTGTCACTGAATATCATGGTAAGAGCATTATATTCTGTAACTGTGCTAACTGGGGTGTAGAAGCAGTGTAGTAATTGTCATTCAGTTTGTACACTAGGTAGTTGGGACATTGGGAGAAGCGCGAAGTTGGTAGTATGGGGGATTGCAAGGCGCTGCGGGCACAATTCCAGGGCCCTCGAGAGACAGGAAATCTGGCACGAGGCCAATACAAGGCCAAGGCGGCTCGAGCCCAACCCATCACGCTGAGAATCTCGCGTCTGGGTGGCCTAGCATAAGTAAGCCTAGCCTAGCATACTCTTGTTCTCTCGTTTGTTTACCAGTGCATAGTGGACTTATGTTACCGTTCTAAGCTACAGCAGCCAGGTGACAGACGCCACTCTTGGTAGCCAGCTGTGGGAGTGGCTGAGGAAGGGATGACTGTGCAAGGAGAGAAGGAGGAAAAGGGGACTGAGCGCAATGAGGCAGGAACAAGGGGAGCGAGCAGAGTAATGCAGGAACAGGGCGAGGGTGAAAGGCAGTAAGGGAAGGGACTCCGACAGGAGTCTGGTGGATAATCGCCATGTAGGATGACTGCTGTCTTATAGGCGCCTCAAGAACCGGGTTGCCGTACGGGCCGGCTTTGAGCTGGCCGCCTGCTGCATACCTGTTGGGGGGCAGTGAGAAGCAACGGAGAATGGTGAGCATATGGATGGCTATTGAGTCGATTTAGTTAGGCCTTTAAGCCTGTCACAGAAGCGCCTCGAATCAAAAAGAGGCCTGAATTTGAGCTGGCCTATTGACGCATGCCATACCACAAGCTGTTGCGAACGATGAGAAAGAAGGGAGGAGAGGCAGTCTCATTTTAAGCCTTTTGGTCCTCTTGCTACGGCCAGCCAGGCACATAGGCCTAAATCGCATTTGGAAAAGCACGGAGCTTGACGTGTCGACACATATGCTTGCATGAGTGGTGCATTGAGATGGCCTTACTTTTGAGTCGACCCAAAAAGGTGACTTCTGAATGACTTTTAGTCGAATAAAAAAGGTGACTTTTGAGCGACTTGTGAGTCGACTCAAAAGTCGCATGAGTGGTACATCGAGATGGCCTTACCCGTCGCACTTGAATGAACCGGAGGAGTTGGAGTGGGTGCAGTCCGTCTGGCAGTGAAAGGGAGGAATACAGAGCGGTAGAAAAGGATAAGCAGGAGATGAATGTGAGCAACAAGAGATATATAATAACAAATGTATGCCATATATCATATATCAAGTTAAAATGCACGACTCGTTCTGAATTCGAGTCGGTCTGCAAGTCCAAGCAAGTAAAGGTTTCCCCAATCGTACCAGGAACAACCGGCCAGAGTTGACTTTTGAGTCGACTCAAAAGCCAATCGTACCAGGAACAACCGGCCAGAGTTGACTTTTGAGTCGACTCAAAAGCCAATCGTACCAGGAACAACCGGCCAGAGTTGACTTTTGAGTCGACTCAAAAGCCAATCGTACCAGGAACAACCGGCCATGAATCTTGAGGCAGCTCAAAAGCGAACTTCAAGGTGCCTCAGAAACTATCGTACCGCCAAGTACCCAGCCATACCTGGAACAACCGGTCATCAAGCTCATAGAAAGCATCGAAACGGATCCCATGCTGTACGTGCCGGGCTTGCACTTGCGACACTTGTCCCCGTCCAGGTAGGAACCAGCAGGGCACGTCATGTCTTGGGGGGGGGGGGGGGGGGGGGGGGTGGGTTGGGCGAAGGGGGGAGAGAGAAGCAGTGGATGGGATTGGATGGCGGAATGATGTCTTGCGTGCTCTCCTCTCCTCTGTATGCCGGGCTTGCACTTGCAGCACTTGTCCCCGTCCAGGTAGGAACCAGCAGGGCACGTCATGTCTTGGGGGGGGAGGCGGGGGGTTGGGCGAAGGGGGAAGAGAGAAGCAGTGGATGGGATTGGATGGCGGAATGATGTCCTGTGAGCTCTCCTCTCCTCTGTGTGCCAGGCTTGCACTTGCGGCATTGTCCCCGTCCAGGTAGGAACCGGCAGGGCACGTCATGTCTGTGTGGGAGGGGGAAGAGAAAGGAAAAGGGGAAGATGGGAGTGGAGGGGGGTACGGTACAGTATATGCTATGGAATGGTATGGTATGGTACAGTACGGTACAGTATGGTATGGTATGGTATGTTATGGTATGGCACGGTGCGGTATGGAATGGTACGGTACGGTACGGTATGATATGGTAAAGTATGGTACGGCACGACATGGCACATAATGTGGGAAATGTATCCAGCTGGTTCATCGTACCTTTGGCAAATACCGCAGGGCAGGAATGCATCCAGGTCATGGTAGCTTTGAGACGTCTCAAAACGAGGTGACTTTTGAGTCGACTCAAAAGTCACTTTGGCAAATACCGCAGGGCAGGAATGCATCCAGGTCATGGTAGCTTTGAGACGTCTCAAAACGAGGTGACTTTTGAGTCGACTCAAAAGTCACTTTGGCAAATACCGCAGGGCAGGAATGCATCCAGGTCATGGTAGCTTTAAGACGTCTCAAAACTTTGGCACATACTGCAGGGGATGTATCCAGGCTATGGCAGTGGGAGAGAGCCGTGTGGGGTGATTCGTGATGGCTAGATAAGGTTCAACCCAACCCACCACAGAACCCCCACCCCACTTGCACCACCACAAAACTCCCAGCACACACACACACACACACACACACACACACACACATACCGCAGAAAATGTATCCAGGCTATGGCAGCGCCGCCACAGATCAAGCCACCACACAACTCCCACCCGACCCACCACGAAGCTCTCAGCACACACACACACACACACACACACACACACACACACACACACACACACACACACATACCGCAGGGGATGTATCCAGGCGAGGGTAGCGGGAGAGAGCCGTGTGCTGTGGGGTTGCAACCGCTGTCAAAGTAATAGATCACCTGGTGGTGGGGATGATGATGTGGGAGTGCGGGTGATGTGAGGGTGATGGTGATGTGGAGGGGGGTGATGTGAGGGTGATGGTGATGTGGAGGGGGGTGATGTGAGGGTGATGGTGATGTGGAGGGGGGTGATGTGAGGGTGATGGTGATGTGGAGGGGGGTGATGTGAGGGTGATGGTGATGTGGAGGGGGGTGATGTGAGGGTGATGGTGATGTGGAGGGGGGTGATGTGAGGGTGATGGTGATGTGGAGGGGGGTGATGTGAGGGTGATCGTGATGGTGATGGTGACATGATGACATGTTATGGTGATGGCGCGCCTCAAGAACTTTGCTCAAAATATAAAAGGATATTGAAATCACAACTTGAAATGCTGAGGGGGAGGATGTTGAGGAAGCGCAAGCGTGAATGAAGAAGACGGACGAGCAGCAGGGAACATGACAGCACCATACGTTTTGACCACGTAACCACATGTTACCACGTATTGTCTAGTGTCTTACGACATGTTACCACATGTTACCACGTATTGTCTAGTGTCTTACGACATGTTACCGCATGTTACCACGTGCCTGGATGGTCTTCTCCTTGCTGAGGGGCTGGCTCTTTGCTCGGTCTCGGATGTAGTCGCAATTGCCATGGATGGTGCGGATGTTGCCTCCCCACATGCATGCCACCCACCGGAGCTACCACATACCACATGCTACCGTGTGTTACCGCATGCTACCACGTGCCTGGATGGTCTTCTCCTTGCTGAGGGGCTGGTTGGATGCGGGGTCTCTGATGTAGTCGCACTTGCCATGGATGGTGCGGATGTTGCCCTCCCCACATGGCACCGGGGCTAGCTCTGCAACAGATCGATTATCAATAGGGATGAGCAAAGGGCGAACACGAACATGTTCGTCTTCGCCCCTTGTCGAACACCCTCTTTTGCCGAACCGGACACTGTTCGGTTTGGCGAACAGTTTAGGAAAAAACAGGTGTTCGCTGTTCGCCTGTGGAGGCGTGTTCGGGCGAACCTCGAACACGTTCGTGTTCGCCACGGGGCGTTCTGCAGCAGCGCCACGAACACGAACGTGTTCGGGCGAACATCGAACACGTTCGGGCGCACGATTTAAGCTGAAAAACAAAACCTGTTCGGTTCGCCTCGAACGTGTTCGAGGCGAACCGAACAGGTGTTCGCCACCTTGCTCATCCCTAATTATCAATCAACATGCGGTCATGGGAGGATGTTATAAGCTGAACCCCATGCCTGATGCTAATAACATCATGGGAGGATGTTATAAGCTGAACCCCATGCCTGATGCTAATAACATCATGGGAGGATGTTATAAGCTGAATCTGATGCATGGATCCCCCCATTCGGTCATGGGATGAGAATGTTATGTTCTCATCAGATCGGGGCCCCCAAGCCCCCTAATTGGAAATTGGGGCTAGCCTAGCCCTGCAATAGATCACTCAACATAGACTTGGGCAGCAAATACCTAATCCCTAGACCCATATATGCACGCGACTTTTGAGACATCTCAAATCAAAAGTCGCCTGGCACTGGGTTTAACTGTGCAGCAGATCAGTTACCCATCAATCAACATGTGCATGTGAGGACTTAAGCGGTGGGATCCGGACGCATGGATTTGGGTGCTTGAATTGGATGCGTGTTTCGGAGGCAATTAGATATGTGCATGGATGGATTTGCATGCAGGCAGGAGGAGGAAGGAACATATGCACAAACTCACAAAAGACACACACGCATGATGCACACGTGCGATGCGAGCACACAAGCGCGCATACAGGGTGAGCCAATGGCAGCAGAGGCAGCTCGGAATGAAAACCAGGCACCATGCTGCATGCACACCACCACTCGCAGAAGCAAAGAGCTGATTTCACAAGGAGTGCTTAATGAGGAACTAGAAAGGAAACAAGGATGCAGCAGATTACTCGGAGTGTGCTCACCACAGAAGAGAGGGTCAGCAGGAATCTCCCAAGTGGAATCCCCTCCCTCGCAGTCTGTTGACATCAGGCAAACAAGATAGACAAAGACAGGCATAACGTGTTGTGGTTGTGGATTTACCCTAGATGCAATGCAGCTGGAGGCGAGAACAAAAGGGACAAGGAGAGAAGGCCAGCTGAACTATCCCAGCTGGAATTCACCCCATCACAATCTGTTGTCATGGAGCAAACGAGAGCACCCCATTCACCCCAACAGCATAACGTGTTTCGGATTCATCAAAAGTGCAACTGGAAGCGAGGGCAACGGGGACAAGTCAAGGGATGGTGCATGATTGTGCATCTTCAAAAAGGTCATATAGAGTCACAACTGGTAGACTTATAGTCACGATAACCAACTCTGTACATCGTCTATCCACCCAGCGAATCTTCTAGCCAACTTTTTGCAGATGAGACAAAGTCACAAAAATAAATGGCAAAAGTTAGCCGAAGGCAAACCTGGAGTTGAGAAACGAGTAGGTACTAGTTGGCAGGAAGGAGAGGACTTTTGAGGCGCCTCAAAAGTAAGCTGGAATTTTCAGAATCAAGCTCAACAAATCTGGAGTTCAGAAACGAGTACGTACTGGTTGGCTGGAAGGAGAGGGTGCAGGAGCCATTGTCTGCCTTGACGTACTTGCGCTCATAGTCCTCTGGCGTGCAGTCTGCACGCGGGGTGTGAGAGGCACATAACAAAACACAGGCAGTGTGAGACAAGGCCAATTAACACACTGCTAGGCCGTGCTCTGCCTTGACGTACTTGCGCTCATAGTCCTCTGGCGTGCAGTCTGCACGGGAGGAGAGAGGCAACAGCAAACACACAGGCGTGAAGACATATGGGTATGGGATACGGCCGCTGGCACATTGTCAGGCCCTCGCCTGCCATTGTCTGCCTTGACGTATTTGCTCTCATAGTCCTCTGGCGTGCAGTCTGCACGGGAGGAGAGACAAGGGCGCACACACAGGCGTGGTCACATGGTTACGGCACGGTCCAGCCACTAGAAAAGTGCCATGTGATTGCCTGCCTTGACATACTTGCGCTCGTAGTCCTCTGGCGTGCAGTCTGCACGCGGGGTGTGAGAGGCACATAACAAAACACAGGCAGTGTGAGACAAGGCCAATTAACACACTGCTAGGCCGTGCTCTGCCTTGACGCACTTGCGCTCATAGTCCTCTGGCGTGCAGTCTGGTGGGGTGAAAGAGACATTGGCGCACACACACACACGCACACACACACTCACGCGCACGCACGCACGCACACGCGCGCGCGCGCGCACACACACACACACACATGTGGATATGGGTATGGGATGGGACACATGAATGAACACACGACCGGCCAGGCCTGTATCTCCCTTGACGTATTTGCTCTCATAGTCCTCTGGCGTGCAGTCTGCACGGGAGGAGAGAGGCAACAGCAAACACACAGGCGTGAAGACATATGGGTATGGGATACGGCCGCTGGCACATTGTCAGGCCCTCGCCTGCCATTGTCTGCCTTGACGTATTTGCTCTCATAGTCCTCTGGCGTGCAGTCTGCACGGGAGGAGAGACAAGGGCGCACACACAGGCGTGGTCACATGGTTACGGCACGGTCCAGCCACTAGAAAAGTGCCATGTGATTGCCTGCCTTGACATACTTGCGCTCGTAGTCCTCTGGTGTGCAGTCTGTACGGGAGGAGAGAGGCACAGGCACAGCGCACACACACGGGTGTGCACAGATGTCTGTCACGGCATGTTATGCCATGCAATGGGTATTGGGTGGGATGGGATGCACATATGGATGAACACACAGCCAGCCATGACATTTTTGAGTCGACTCAAAAATAGACTCACCACTACACGCACAGCCAGCCATGACATTGTGACACTTCCCTTACTTGTACCCGCGGTCCTCTGCTGTGCGTGCCGCCGTGCTGGTGTGCAGTCGTCTGGTCTGGTGCCACGCAGTCATCTTCTCCTCCTGGGCCTACGGTTGATATGATACAATGATATCAATTTGGGCTCAGGTCTGGCGTACATACTAGAAATCATACCACCACGGTATGGGTTGGGTTGAGGTTTAGGGATACATATTCAAAGCTTGTTCGGTCGCTCCCTACACCCTAAGGCCGTGGTCCTTATTCTCACCCTAAAACCCTAAAGCCGCGGTCCACCACCTCACCCTAATACCCTTAAACCACGGTCCACCAGAAGCTCACCGCAGGGTTCAGGTCGAGGCGAGAGGTCGGTGCACCTGACTTTTGAGGCACCTCAGAGGTCAATCATTCCATGTGCCGACGCAGCTCACTGCAGGGCAGGGCAACTCACTTCAGAGCACCTCACCGCAAAGCATCTCACTGCAGAGCGAACTATCGCACCGCAGAGCCACTCACCGCAAGGCTCAGGTCGAGGAGAGAGGTTCAGCGGGAAGGGGTCGGTGCAGTTGCGGGCCTTGTTGAAGAATATGCGCCTCTGCTGACCTGGAGAGGAGGCGAGTGGTGGGGGCAGGGGAAAGAGACACGGCCTGGAGTGAAGGAGATGCAGGGGGGAAACGGGAAGCTCAGCAGGAAGGGGTCGGTGCAGTTGCGGGCCTTGTTGGAGAAAATGCGCCGCTGCTGACCTGCAGCAGCAATGGTGGGTGCAGAGGAGGGGTGAAACATGTTTTCAATTGTACGGGTCGGGTTGGTGCAGTTGCGGGCCTTGTTGAAGAATATGCGCCGCTGCTGACCTGGAGAGGGGTGGTGGTAGTGGGGGCAGAGGTGGGAGACAGTGTGGGGAAGCAGCAGGTGGGGTTCACTGCACTCCAAGGGGTCGGTGCAGTTGCGGGCTTTGTTGGAGAAGATGCGCCGCTGCTGACCTGGAGAGGGATGGTGGGGGTACAGAGGCAGAGGCGGGAGACAGTGTGGGGAAGCAGCAGGAGGAGGGGTACGCAGGAGAGGTCCACTACACTCCAAGGGATCGGTGCAGTTGGCCTTTGTTGGAGAAGATGCGCCTCTGCTGACCTGGGGATGGGTAGTGGGGGTACGGGGGCAGGGGCAAGAGCGATAATATGGAGGAGCAGGAGAAACGGGAAGACACAAGGTTCGGCTGGGAGGGGTCGGTGCAGTTGCGGACCTTGAGCAGATGAAGTAGATAGATGCGCCGCCGCTGCTGACCTGGAGCAGCAATGGTGGGCGCAAAGGAGGGGATGAAACAGGGGGGAGAAGCAGCAGGCAACTTATGGCTTCATTGGCAGGGAATTCACATTGATAGGGAGGGATACATCAAACACTTACCGTAACTTGGACAGTTTCACACCTTGACACAGACCTCACCTCAGCCTACCAGAGGTCTCACCTTAAGACGGACCTCAGCCCACCACAGGTCTCACCTTAAGACGGACCTCAGCCTACCACAGGTCTCACCTTAAGACGGACCTCAGCCTAACACAGGTCTCACCTTAAGACGGACCTCAGCCTAACACAGGTCTCACCTTAAGACGGACCTCAGCCCACCACAGGTCTCACCTTAAGACGGACCTCAGCCTACCACAGGTCTCACCTTAAGACGGACCTCAGCCTAACACAGGTCTCACCTTAAGACGGACCTCAGCCTAACACAGGTCTCACCTTAAGACGGACCTCAGCCTACCACAGGTCTCACCTTAAGACGGACCTCAGCCTAGCACAGGTCTCACCTTAAGACGGACCTCAGCCTAACACAGGTCTCACCTTAAGACGGACCTCAGCCTAACACAGGTCTCACCTTAAGACGGACCTCAGCCTAACACAGGTCTCACCTTAAGACGGACCTCAGCCTAACACAGGTCTCACCTTAAGACGGACCTCAGCCTAACACAGGTCTCACCTTGAGACGGACCTCAACCTAACACAGGTCTCACCTTGAGACAGACACACGAAACGCTCTTCTTGAGCCTTCTCTCACCTTGGCAGGGACCGTATATATACTCTGGTACAGCTGCGACCCAGTGAGCTAGGCTCGGGAACAACATTCTCTCGTCTCGAGGCTTCGCTCACCTTTGCACAAGGACACAACAAAAGGCTTTTCTTGCACCTTTACTCACCTTGGCATGGACCGGATACTCTCGTATAGTCCGACAGCTGGCACACCAGGGAGCTAGGCTCGGGGATGGCTGGCAACGGCTCCTCGCCCTCTTCCGAACCTAAGTCAGGTGCTTCGGATGGAGTTTCGGCAGGAGGCCCAGAGGGAGGTTCCGAGGGTGGTTCGGAAGGCGGTGCGGCGGATGTTTCAGAAGCAGGTGCTAGGGCAGGAAGGGATGGTTCGGCAGGCAATGCGACCGCGTGAGTGATACCAGGAAGACGCGTTACGCGCTAGGAGACAGTGTTAAACTGTTCTGAGTCGACTCAAAACGCGTGAGTGATGCCAGAAAGGCGCGTTACGGCGTTAGGAGACATCGTTAAACTCGACTCGAAGAGGATGCGATGTGGACCGTAGATTAGAAACACTCACTAGCTGCGTAATAGCTTGGATATTCCTGCTCGAACAATCAAAGCGATAAATGCTCTAGCCGCCAACGACAAAGCTCCAGTAGTCAAACGAGTATTGCTGACTACATTCGTCGATTGTCACTGCCATGGATCAACTACTTGCTCTAATCTTCCTACAACTTCCTCGAGTCAATGGCATTGCAGTTGTTTCATTAAAGCGACGGTGCACATTTGCCACCCAAAACCCGGAACCCTGGCGAACTGTTACTGCGGATGGAAAGTGTCCGCACGAAATCCTGGTTTTCGCCAGCCAGCACTTTCGCGCTGGCAAGCCTGGTTCAAAAAAAAAACTTCTGAACCCAACACTGCCAAAAGTTGCCCGTCGCTTTAAGGCAACCTGGGCACAGCCTTGAAAACATCCAAGTCCGTTCTAACAGATTCTCTACTCCTCGATAACCTACCCAAACGCTTATCAGAACGCAGAGGACAAAGCGTATCAGAACGCAGAGGACCTTACTGAAACGTATTCCACTACACATTAATCAGCGAAATCATTGGCAAATAAGGTATGTACGCGATATTGATCTAGTGGATTCACAACTGTTGAACTAGTGAAGTTGACATTTATGCAAGTGGTATGGGTAAACTATATTCATATTATATGAATGCCTACAAAAGAAGGCAAGTACCGTAATACCCCGGATATAAGCGCACCTGCGCTTATAATAAAACCTGGTTTTTGGGGGGGGGTGCGCTTATAATTGAGTCTGATATATAAGCGCATGCGCTTGTATAAAGGATAAAATGAAAGTCAATTTTAAACACACCATTGTGAAGCTCTCAATAAGGCGAATTCAACCAACCATGCACCAAGTGGGATCGTGCATGGTTTTCAGGCAGAAACCGCAGCGGTTCGGTTTCCCACCGCACAATGTTGTCTGGAAACATCGACAGTGACAGCCGTGACGAGGATGTTGCCGTGCGGCCCAATCAGAGCCGCATGCGCTGCGTTGCATGTGCATTCGGGCAGAACCATCTCGAAGGTTCGGCAAAATTCCCTGCCAGCGCAGCGTAGATGCTGCCACGCAGGCGCCTCTACGGGAGTAGGCGGGGGTTTCCTGCCTGTCATCGACGAGGAACCCGAGCCGCCACGCAGCAGGGGTCACCGTCGTTGCCCATTTCTTCACCCTCTTCTCTGATTTTTTTCATTCAGTTTCTTGTCAACCCCGCCTGGCAGGCGAAGCCATGGCGGAATTTAGTGGGACTCACATCCTCTTCAAGAAAAAGCCCCGCCGCACATGGCGACTTACCGAGGACGGGTGGTATACCCGTGAGCCACCAGCGCCTCTAGTGCCACCAGATCCCCCTGCACCCCCTGCTCCTCCTGCTCCTCCTGCGCCTCCTGCTCCACCCGCTCCTCCCGCACCTCCCGCTCCTCCGAATCCGCCTGGGTCTGTTACGGCAGGTGCTCACCAACGGCCCGTGCTCGAACTGTATTTACCGGCCACGTTCGACGAATGGTTAGCTGAAGCGGACACACCCAAGGCCCCCGATGCACGCATCCAAGCTCCGGCGCCTGCACCACGGTGGGGACAACCTGAATCCTGCGCGTGGGATGAGTCGGCTGTGGGCGCCGACGATGATGTGGCCGCCGATAAACATGACAGCGGCGCCGGCGAAGCTGGAGGCGACGGTGAAGCTGGTGGCGCCGGTGCTGCGGGCGACGAGGAAGATGTGTTCCCCGACCGTGACACAACTGCCGAGGACGAGGACGGTGTGGAGTCCTGGTGGCGCGACGCACCACGCGCGAAGATGCCGATACCGACGTATTCGCCCCTTAACAAAAAACGCCCCCACCCGTCTACCGAGAATCGAGATGCCCGCCCCCCCTCCCCCAGGCACAAGCAGAGTCAACATAAGCGGCAGTCCTACACCGCCCAGGAGAAGTTGAGGTGGCTCGTGCGGCTCGAGCTTGCGGCTTCGGTGAGCGAAGTGGCGCGGGAGTCAGGCATACACCGAAAATTTCTGACAGAATGGAAAGCCCAAGCGGAGGCGCTCAAGGCTGCACACGGAGCACGGATGCGACTTCACGGGCGCGGGAGGGCGTCTTGGTACCGCCCCATGGAGTTAAAGGTGTACGCGCAACTCCTCGACAGGCGACGCCGCGGAGTTGCGGTTTCGGTCGGCCGGCTGCAAGAGTGGTCCAAAGAAGTGATGAAGGTTCTCTTCCCGGACGTCAAGTGGAAAGGCAGTCAGCGGTGGACGGAGTGGTTCCGCAAGCGGTGGAACCTCACCGTGCGCATGAAAACAAAGGTGGCGCAGAAAACACTGGAGCGTAAGTGGGTCGTCTACTGCTGATTTTGATTTATCCCGATTATGCTTAGTTTCTTTTTCGCATGTCTCCTGTGCATGATACTAATTTGGTCTACTATGTGTACTTATCTCCCTGTTCCGCAGACGTGGCTGAGCAGTGCAAGGATTTTTGGCAGTACGTACGTGACGCCCGGAACGAATACGACATTGACAACCGCTACATAATCAACGCCGACCAGACACCGCTGTGGTTGGAGATGCCGGCGACGACCACTGTGGAGCAGACGGGCGTGAGGTCGGTGCCCATCCGCAGCAGTGGGTACTAGAAGGAGAGAGTGACCATCATGCTTGCGTGCACGGCGACGGGCGAGAAGCTGAAGCCGTGGGTGTTTTTCAAGCGCAAGACACTCCCCAAGGGTGACTTCCCTGTCAGATTTATATGACATAGCTACTGTAGGCTATAGTGGGGTGGCACATATGGGGTACAGTTTTCTAGGGTTTGCTTTTTGTACCCAACTTTCACTTAGTCATTTTCATTCCTCGTTTCTTCTCATGGTATCGAGCAGGTTCCCTAGTGGGAACGATTCCTAGGGCCCACCACCACGAAATTATTATTATTTTTTTTCCTGCCCGGAGCGCGTTTTGCTCCGGCCCGAGTCGCGCCGCCCCTACGGCCCTTCGCGCTGCCCTTTCGGCCCGTCGCGCCCGTCGCGCCCGTC